TGAATTTTGAAGAAAGGCAAAGGGCAGAACCATTTCAACAAATTCTGTTAACTTGTATGCGTTGCAATATCACTTTGCAGTTGTTAGCATAAACATTCAATGTGTCTTTCGACTAGACCTAGCACACTTTAAAAGAAGCCGCCTAAACCCAGTTTCACTAGAAGAACCATAACACTGTTAAATATTTGATAGAAATTACCCCTCAGAGCTTCCATTTGAAAGGGCTGTGGGAGCAGATACATTTTGATGTTAGTGACTCCAACTGACCCATGCATGCCACACTGCACACGTGTTCCGATAAAATTAAGAAGTTGAAGCCTTCAGACCTTGAAAACAGTCGAATCTGAGCACGGTGGATTCATGTGAAACACGTAATATGCATTTATAAGCAAAATGTCCCATCCTGAGCAGCACCGATCCACAACCTCCTGCCTATGGAATCAAAACATTAGACAAATTGGTGTACTGTGCGCATTCACAAATCTTTGCGAATCAAGTGTGCCTTTTGACTAAGGAAAATTTAGCATTGGAATGGTCAACCTCAATATAAACCTGGTATCTGCAGATAAAACCAATTGTTTTCTTAAAAATACATTTTTGATGTGCTTTATTTTTCTAATATAATTTATAATTACTGTAAAGTGTGGTACATTTGGTACTATGAATACTATTTGCAAATTAGCTTGGGTAACACGAACACCCCTCTCAAATAAAATTTTAGACCCTCAAGTCATATCTTATAATATTCTTTGAACAAAAGGTTGCGACTAGCCGGCTACCCATCAGAATTTTCTTTCAGATCACAAAGTCGCAATATTACGCCACGCTAATTTTCATTTGCAACTGTAATTTGTTGTAGTATCGGTGTCCAACTTTAGACTGAAACCTTTTACAACCAGACCCACCAAAACAAAAAAAATTACTTGATAGGTCCGTATTGAAGTGGCTTTCGAAGCACAATGGTTACTTTATCTCCACCAATCCACAGTAATCACAAGTTACTTTGTCATTACGATAAGCATCAATAAATGGATACTGAGGATGTATTATCAAGTCACGCAAGCTGAGATCTTGTACCACTGTGGTCTTGTTGCAACTTATCCTTTGCCATCCATCTATTCCATGGTCGCATCCATACCTGTAAGATAATGGATACAGATTCATTCGATATCATGATCCTGCATTAGATTTGTAATAATTGTAGTTTTCATTAAATCTAATTTCATTAAGATATGTTTTTTGTTTGCCAGAACTCCTTGATGATCAATTTGAAAGCTAGCTAATTCAACATACAACGTGTATACATCAACAAAACTTGCAGACTGATGAATCATCAGTGATGAATTTGAACTGACCGCATTGATCAACAACCTCAATAAAATTTGCTTGACTATAACACAAATGGCACAGTGGACCTTTTCGTTACCAATTTACTTCAAATAATTGGAATATTTGTTGAGCCCTTTGAAACTATTCTATATGTTCGACTCTTTGATAATTGAACGGCCGTACTGTTAGGTGTTGTATGCCCTTATGGTTCATATAACTATGCTATAACAATATAGCCGTTCTCTCTCTCTCTCTCTTAACTAGTGAAATGTGAGTCACAAATCAGTAGTAAATCGGCTGCCATCGTTCAAAATAATTATTGTATCCATGTTGGATAAAAAAAAATCATTTAACTGTATGCCATACCAGCATATTGCAAGGCCGGAACATTCGGTTCTAACGGACAGGCTTCGCAAAATCAGGACTGTCCCGGCCAAAGCGTGTATATAACCGGGACGTACGGTATGTACCTATACCACATATAAATACGCAAAGTGACTACCCAGAGTTTATAGTCACTTTGTAAATACCCGACCTCGCGTGGCCATGTTTGAATTTTGGAGTCGAAATTGCCGCGAAGCATAAGTGCCGAATTGCTTCCACAGTGTTAGTACTTTCTTATTAAAAAAATTAAATTTTGGAAACTTTTTCCTAAAATGAATTTATACTCTTCTTAATAACACAAGGGCAAAAATTATAACAAATGGTTTCATGTCAAGGAATTTTATGTAGAGCGTGGAGTTAGACAAGGTTGTCCACTCGCGCCTCTATTATATTTAATAATGGCTGAACTATTAGCCTGCAATATTAGATGTAATAGTAGAATTGAAGGCTTTAAAAATTGCACAGGAACAAGGGAAGTATATAAGGGATTTGCTGACGACACCATAGTAACAGTAGAAAATTTAAGATCATTAGATGCAGTATTGGATTTGATGAAAATTTTTGAAAAAGCTACAGGGTTGAAAATAAACATTTCTAAGTGTAATATCATGTTGTGCGGGTCAGCTAAACATTGGAATATAGGATCTACATATAAAGGTATCCAAATCACACAGGAACTAAAAATTTTAGGAACATTCATAGGAAATAGTATCATATCACGAGATAAAAACTGGATAAAAATAACTAATTCTATACAAAGTGTAATAAATTTGTGGCAGGGTAGGAATTTAACTATGATAGGAAAATGTCTAATAGTGAAAGCGTTAATGTTATCCAAAGTGTGGCACATTGCTAACTATGAAATTATGCCTGAAACATTTATTAAAAAATTAGAATCCATCATTTGGCACAATAAACCCCAGTTAGTGGGTAGACAAATTGTATCTGGCAGTTTTACATCTGGTGGTCTAAATATGATGGACCTCAGAAGTCAATTAAAGGCCATTCAGATCAAATGGATATTTAAATTACTCAATCAAGAGAATAGGCCATGGAGCCAGAGAGCTAGTTATTTCATTAACAAATATTGTGATATCTTGACTCATGATAAATTAGAATGCTTGTATTTAAATGTAAGATTTGAAAAAATAACAGCAATCCCAACTTTCTATACTTCTATAATTAACTCATTCAAAGATATTCAACTAGAAAGAAGTCATCCATTATATGCAAATGAGGTTAAAAATGAAATATTGTGGTATAATCCTTTAATTCCTGATCAAAATTTTCATTTCTCAACTAAATGGATCCAAGCAAAGGTCATTTCGGTGGCAGATATTTTAAATAAGACTCCTTATACATTGGCAAGTAGGATATACTCCATTACTCAAATTAGGGATAGCCGAAGAAGACAATATTATTTAAATAAATATTCCAACGAAAGTCAACAAGTTTGGAACAGATTACCTTTGAATTGGAAAGAGATCTTAGCAAATAACCATAGTATAGAGGAAAATAGACCTGAAATTTATAGATATGTTGGTTCTGAAGAATTAACTACAAAAAAAATAAGTAACTTACTAAAAAGTATGAAAATTAGAGAAATTGCTACACGACATGACATTCATGTAGCACAAAAATATAATTTGAATATACCAATTAATTGGATGAATATTTGGAAATGCAAAATACCTAACAAGTATAAAATCTTGAGCTGGAAAATTTCTCATAATGGGTTACCAACGGGTGATAAATTGAAACATTGGTTTAACAATGAAAATGGATTATGTGTATTGTGTAATAGATATGAGGAAACATGTATGCACTTATTTTGTAATTGTGAGTGGGTAATCGACTTTTGGGAATGGAGTAACATAGAATGGAATAGGGAGAAAATTATTTCTAATAATTTTCAAAGTGATGCTAAACTGTTAATAACCCATTGTGGAAAGTCAGCCATATGGGAATATAGGAATAAAGTAAAATATGACAATATATATCAGATGCAATGTGATATACGTGCTATTTTAAAATGTAAGATTCTGGGCGTTATTAAATTAATGTCTGATGTTGATAGACAAGATCTTCTCAATGAAGGAATAGTGGATAACCTACTCATAAAGTCTATAATGATTTGAAAATATTTGGTTTACATAGCATAAATTGTTGTATTTTCTATATGATATGTTTATTTGGGTGTCTGATGGATAATTTTTTATGTTAGAGTTGAATAATAACTTGGACAGGAAATAGGAAAATCCTATTAGCATGATAGGTGTTCAAATTTGCTGTCTAATATTTATAAATTTTGCTTTTCCATGCTAATATAAAATAAATTTAATAACATTCACGATGATGACAATTGGGACAACAATCAACTAAATCAATTGGAACTACAAACAATGAATTGCTGATATTGAATATGTGAATGTAAATGTATGGGTATTGTATATTTAAATTGTAAAATGATTTTCTTCATTAAACGGAATTCAAACCATGCGATTGTATTCCGATATCAATTACTGTAACCAAAATTGGAAATACACATAACATAAATAATATTAATTCACTTTCATTTGGACAAAAATTATAAATAATTGAATTTCATATTGCACTGGAATTCTATTTGGCAAAAAGTATTCAGATAGTGTTCATTATATGCACTGGAATTCTATTTGGCAAAAAAAAAAAAAAGACTGTAGTACCGTAGTTAGTTTACCTTTGTTTCGAATTGAATGCACTGTCCTGCTGACTTTCAAACTTTTTGTAGAAAACACAACAAATCAACAGTAGTACAAAGAAGTTGACAGATATGTACCGGTACCGTACCCGTACAAATCGAGTCACGCCGGTACTGTAACTGACCCCTATTTTACCATCATCAAATTGCAGGGTTGTAGAAATCAATTATTCACATTGATCAGCCTCAAACAATTTTATTGCAAGCCCCTTCTTCATGGGACCATCTGGCTTTTCGCACCTCCATATTGCACAAACCAGTTTTGCGCAATAAACTAAAACCAAGTGCAATCTAAAACATTACTGTTACAGTATTAAATTTCTCAGAGAAAAAGAATGTGGTGTACGTACCGATAGAAAAAAAGTTATTGTATTGTACCATTCAGTTACTGTACCAACTCTGACATAAATTAGTGAAGCTTCGTATCCGGAGCTGGAGCCACAGTTCGAATATAGCCCCCGTGGTTTTTATCAAGTCCTGCAGCCTGGTCAAAAGTATCATTATGTGTGCTCAGTAATTACAGAATTATTAATTAACCAAAAGCAAAGATTTTCAACATTAAATCGATATGCTTGACTGTAGAGTGCCCAATAAAATGGTATTTAAACTAACCATATTTTTATTTGTATCGTAGCTTAAATATTGTAAAAAGTAATCAAGGTTTTTTATTTATTTGTGTAAGAGAATTACGGATAAATATGATCAGTTCAGATACTGACCTAAACTCCCCGGAACCAAAACTTCCTCGCACCGAGAGTGAATCTGAGATGGATTCAGAGCAAGAGTTGGAATTATGTATGGATGAAATGTATGTTCGACAGCATTTTGGAACAACGTCTGATGAACTTGTCGACATTATTTTCAACTTGAGTTTGAAACACGTAACAAGTTTGATTCCGACATTAAAAAAGCCTTTAATGCAACTTGCAATGGCAGGAAAATCTGAAGAAGAAAAATCAGAAATGAATACAAAGATAGAGAAAGGACTGAGGCACTTTTTGGAGACTTTTTATTCCCGATTGGAGCATAATTCCGACGGCTTGCTGATTTACCTACGTGATTATATTGTGAGTGTACCGGATGGTTTCCGTTCTCCATCAGACAAGGCCCAACTGCAATATAAAGATCTAGTGAAATCATTACAAGAAAAGGAGATCGCTTCGGGAGAGTCAGAAATATGTATTTATACTGAGCAGAACATGGCGGACGTTATGAAAGAAAAAGTAATTGAGTTACGAGAGAAATTACATCAAAAGAAACTCGAAAAATTGGATCTAGAAAATCGAATACAACAAGCAGATTCCGTTATTCGTAGGGCTAATGTATTTGAAGAAAAAGTGAACTCTGTATTAAACAGTTTTCAAGGATCTCTCTCTGATTTTGTTCAAAAAAACATTGCTGCTGCTATGAATTTACCTGTTGATTATAGTGGTACTAATTGGTCTGCGAGTACATAAAATCAGCATGATGTATAGCTAGCGATGGGCAATATAGCATAATTTACCATTCTAGAATAGTCAAATCGAATCCAGAATACCGAATCCTATTATATTTTCATTGTTATTCAAATGTGGGACTTCTCCCACCATATCGATGGATTACAATTTGAAAAAGAAAAAAAAGAATTGTGAATGTATAACTAACTACCTTTGTACCTTTGTATTTAATTGTTAAAACCCTGCGCATTGGATTTTATGTTGTTGCAAACAGGGCAATGAAATTATTGGAATATAAGAATTTTTTTAATAAAATAATAAGAAAGAATTGTTACAAACTCCTCACCACTGGTGGCATGTGGTATTACAGAATCAGAGATGGTAGCATTTCGATAAATATGTAACTTTACCATGATAGGTAATTTTGTTTTTTTTTAAGAATTAGTTTGGGATTACTATTCGAACAGTCCCGGAACATTGTTGATTTAGTTCAATTTTTTTTTTCTTATGTAAAAATATCCATGTATCTTACTTTTTAGGCAATGGACATGACCCTAATACAGTGTTTTTTAACTGGGGGCCGTGGCGCCCTAGGGTTCCCCATGCAATGTCCAGTGGGTTGTGCGAGTCCCATTCAAATGCGAGATCTATATATTAATGTATTTATATTGTTTAAATATAATGAAATACATTTTGAGTTTGCCAATGTTATTAAACCCGATACACTTGTTCAACCCGATCATTTGTTTGGTCGGATTAGTTTTCCTTCTATATATAACTTTAGTTTATACAATTCAGACAATGAAAGACAATTGAACTATTGTGCACAGGTTCCTGTTTCAGTGGGGGTTCAGCTCCACAGAAAAGGTTGAAGGGCACTCGTTTAATAATTGCTTATCTTATAGTCTGACTAGTCCTAGTTTTGTACAATTTTGTTTGTTCACCATAATATTGTTTTTGTTTATATGTCGTGTCATTTATTGGTAAATTCATGTTTGAGTATGGCATTTTGATTTAGTCATATTCGATAGGCATAGTATGTACATATAATATATCTGTATCAGATCAGGTCTAAGCCCTGATTTTTTGTAAACTTTTTTGTTTTTTATTTTCATGCTCTAAAAACTTCCATGCAGCGAAATGATACCAAAATTTTAAATCAATCCTGTGAAAATCTTATACAGCATTTTGAGTCCTAATACCAGATATATTGCTGCCTTCCCAATGATTAACACTGATGTAGTTTATTCTCAATCATTTCTACACAATACTGCCATGTTAAATATGAAATTTGTTTATCAATAAACATAAATAAAACAATATGTCTTATTGTTGTTCTCATCTTTGATTGTTAACAAGCGTGAGCCATTGATGGGCCATATTTTTAAGATATGGCCCAATTATCGCAGGCATACTTGTCAAGATAGTTTCTCTGATCTAAAGAGGGCCTAATAGTATTTTTGTTGATTACTTATTTTCGTTACTTTTTTTTTTAGTTGAAATAAAACAGTATTGTTGTATAATAATGCTCGTATCTATGTTCTAAGTAGCCAATGAAGTTATAAAGCAGCGATGGGCAATATAGCTTGTGATATTTATAATATGGATCTTAAAATTGGAACAATCTGATTTGGAAATTGTATAATGAGACAAAAGATTTTATGGATTTGGGATCGTGGAGGTGGGAAACCAAAACCAGGTGACTTATATTTTTAATATCTGATGAATATGAGGCATTATTGATTACCTATGTATAATTGTATGTCATCATTTTCATAAAAATCTAGAAAAAGAGGATTTAAGAAAAACTCCCAAGTTCTAAATAGCCTATTCAATTAGTATAAAATATAAAATTCCTAAAAAATGAAAATTAGTTTTAGACAGATTTGTAAAATTTTACAACATGCTAATATCTATAAATCATTGCTGTTAAACATTTTTCAATAAAAAAATTAAACCATGTCTGATTTTGAAATCAAAATTGGCATCTGGCAAGATTATTTTAGATGAATGAATGTCTAGCAAGGAATTTAAATAGATAGTATTTCGGGAAAATTTAGGTGTCAAACTATTTGTGATTAAACCTTACCATTGATACTTAATTAATTGACACCAATTTTCCTCATCGATGAGGGATAGAAAAAATTTTAAATTGGGATGAAGTCAAAAAGTAAAATAAAAAAACTGATTACAATATCACAGACACGGAACAGTATTTTAATTACCGTGCAGGAAAATAAAATCCTTTAAATATAAAACTCAATAAATATTATTTATATCTTTAAGATGAAAATTCTGCTGGAGTTTCTCGGACTTCTGTACTTCAACTCGAAGAACTAGCTGTCCAGCAATTTGCTATTGGAAAAAGCTGTGGTGTAATTATATCTGAAGATGAAAAATGCTACCAAGTTGGGCGACCAGGCTCGGCGAAATTGACCTTGCAAGGGTAAAATGATATTATTTTTGTTTTTGAAGAAATCTTCTCATAGTAAGGTCGCGTGTGCTCACTCAGAAATTATTGAGACTGAGCGGTGGTACTTTGGTATGTAAACGCATACCTAAGTGTCACCACAATTGGGACCACTCCGGTATGAGATTGAGAATATGTCAAGCCAAGTGAGAGCAGATACCAAAGTGACAATGCAACGACAGATCTCTGGGTGTAACATTGGTAATCACTAAATTTCCAATAGCTACAAGACTGTAATGAATTATAGTGTAGAATTGAATGTTAGTAAATACCAGTTAACGTGAGATTTAAAGCAGCTCATGTCAATATAATCAGGAAAACATCTATGAGCAACTGAGTTCCACATTTCTTGGTAAAAAACTTACAATATCACCCAATATCAAACTCATTTTCAATTGTACATTTACAAGTACTGATGTATTTAAAGTCATTTGGTGGCTCATAATGCAAAGTAATCCACAACAAATTAAAATTCCTTTTCATTCAATTCAGGGATGGAACCCTTTCACAGATCTACTCAATTACACGTGACTGCATTAATTAAGTACCTGTATGAATTCGCAACTCCAAACACCTGTTACATGTCATTGTTACAGGCTTGCAAATCCGCGCCCGAAAACGAGAGTCTAGGCATACTCTCGTCGACCTCCTAACGGAATTCGAATGATTCAATGACGTCATAGTGACGTCACATATACTCCCGTCCCAGGAAAATGTTACGCGAGTCAGGCACGAGTCAATGTGTCTAATTATATCTACGCACACACTATCTACACACCTACTTTCGCTCGATAAACACTACTCCGTCGGTACCCTCGTTCTGCGATATTGCTACTTGCGAGCGTCTCATTAAATACTAATCAAGATAGCTGCGTGCTCTGCGACGCCGTTTTCCCCGCACGACGTAAATGACCTAATTATATATCGGGGTAATCAACCATTTTGGTATTTTGCATATTTTTTTTTTTTTTTAATAAACAAAACCGTTCATGCAGTCTGACATTTGCCGTACAAACTGAAATCTATAAAATAAGTTCGCATGTAGCAGATGAGTTCATGCAAAATAAACATCGCACAGAAAGAACGAAATTGAATATTAAACGCTAATCGCCGCCCGTCGACTTCGCATCATTTAAAATGTATAAAAAGAAAGGTTAGAAATTGTGTCGACGAACAAAGAAATGCGTGAGACGCTTTCAGGTTCACATATCACAGTTTTAGTCTTCTTCCGACGAGCTATCGTCGATGTTTATTAGTTGAGGCTGTACCAAGCTGGGCTTTGCCGTTTCCAACCCCCCTAAAATTGAATTTATACGTCGTTTCACGAGACCTCGTTCAGACGTCCCATCGCTTCCCATAAATCGGGCGGAAGCCTTGTTGACCAGATTTTCTCGAATGGCCCCGTCTTCGAACTGTTCTTTTCGCGTGGCAATTAATAGAAGATCTTTTATCATATTGTGTCCGAGATGTGATCGCCAATCAGTGAGAATTCGCCGTAAACAACTGAACCCTCTTTCGACAACAGCATTTGAGAATGGTAAGCAAAGCACTAACTCGACAAGATCAACAAATTTTTATACGCCTCCTTCTTTCGCTGGTGCAACTTGTGCCAAAATCGGTAGTGCTCAAATCTTTGTAAACCTCATTTCCCTGGACGTCATACTTCAAATCATCCCATTCTTTCAAGCATGCACCCTTCTCGCACCCAGCTGCGTGTAGAGGTACTTTGAAGTACTCAAAGACTTGTGAAAGATCTTGATTGCCATATTCAGGGACGGACGCATTAATCCCGCCATCCGACATCAAGATTTCAGGGTTCAGCCATGATAACTTACTCAAAATGTTTTCTTGTTCTTCTATTTCTGTAAATCGCTCGTCCAGGCAATCACGCAGATTTCTTATGCATTGCGATCTTGTTGTTTGGGATCTCTGGATGATGGTTTCCTCTGCAGAATGAAAAACCACGCTTTCCTCGTGTTCCAGGAGTCTGGCGGTCGGTGTTTCACGCCTTTTACAAGTAATGCGTATTGCCTTCGTTTGTCCACCATCTTCGTGTCTGGTAAAACGGAACGGAAGCGGAGTGCAATTTAGGTCGCCCCTGTCATAAGCATCGAGCGCTTCTCGCTCTGCAGGACCGCCGCGAAGTTCCATAGAAGTTAATTTCATTTTCAACCGTTTTATCTGCTTGGTAGCGTCAATAATGGATGACCCGTCATGATCTGATTGTATTGCGATTGACGTGGCAGATACCCAATTTACGATATCCTCGTATTGGCGACATAGGATATAGAACTTGAAGCTGTGAAGATTAACAAGAAATTTCTCAGCCTTCATATCTGACTCAGCCTCCCTCTGGTTAGTGAAATGATGTATGTAAACAATCCAATTTGTTTTTAGCGCATGGAGTGCGTTGAGTGTGTGTGCCACAAATCTTGTGCCTTGCGACTTTGGTACACTAACAACCGCGGTCTGCAACTTTTCTGCCGCATTACATACGGCGGCCCATTCTTTAGGGCTATTCCGAAAATGATAATATATGTCAATAAGGAAGTCAATAACTTGTTTGAAATGGAGGGTCAATGCGTCTTTCGATGCTAGTTCAATTCGATGTGAATAGCAATGTACTTTGATTAGCCGACCAGGGCACACGTCCTCCCATTTTTTAAGTAAACCCGTTTTACGCCCAAAGTTAACAGCAGCGCCATCGGCGCCGGCCCCGATAATTTTTGAAGAAAAAGGCTTAATAAGTTCCACAAGATTTTCAATGGGTGTCTCACAATTTGTTGTTATATCGGGAATCAGGAAACTCAACAGAGAGCGCAATGTAGCGTGGTACAAATTGTTAGCGTCCACTCGAACATATTCCTTCATTGAAATCAAGTCAATTTCGTGTACAGCTGGTTTGCATTCGTGCGCTATTCTTATGTAAATTAGTTCCGACTCGTACGATAACTTGCGCTTGGCGACTGTTGACCCATCCACCATCCAGCTAAAAAAATTTACTTTTTTGTGCACTTCATTTCTTATTGAGGACAATATCTCCTCCGCGAGAATATGTATAAAGGCTTTACAACCTTCTCTGTTACCATATGACGTGGTTATTTTGCCGCCATTGTCTGCGCACAGTTGTAATAAGTCCGCAAACGCATTGAAAGGCAGTTCCTTCCTAGAGACATACAGTGCAGTACGAACAAGAGGTTTTATGGCGTTCTCCGCCCTCTGTTTTTGGCAGCCCCATAAGCGAGCGATACTTGTTTGCGTCGGGAGCTTCCCATTCTCAATTTCGACACACTTTAAGTGGCCCTCGGAATTGAGGTGTCGTTCTAAATTATATCTTAAAATCCAGTTGGTGCCATTCTCCCCGTAAGTCGTCACATCATTAACAACTTTGCCTCCATAGCCGCGCTGTATTCTGTCACAATGTTTTTTGCATACAATGCATGCTGCATGTACGACTTTGGTATTATCTTCGTTGAAACCGAACGTAAAACTGTCCTTTAATCTGTTTGGCCAAAACTTCCAGGCCGCTACAGAGACGGACCTTTTTTCCTCCATTTACTCTAATCATACAATTTATAATATCTCCTGTGGTATTTTTAAACAAACAAAAAAACGGTGTTACGCAAAGATACCCTTTTACCGGTAATTTACAACAAAACAGCCGTTAATATAACTAATTAATTACACTAGCCCTAGTCTTACCGACATCTCATCTTTGTTAGTCTGCAACACTTCTATTAAATTCATAATACGCATTCGCAGTCTGCCTTATTACAAGGGAACATTCTGCATTCGCCAACGCCAAGTCGTCCGGAGGCGTGCCCGTGCTTGATTCCTCGCTTTTCGCTGTAATGTACTATTGTGACATCATAAACCATCGCCCGCAAACGATTTTACGTCACTAAAGAATAAAGAGAGAGAGGCGGCGGAAAAAATCGCCTCGGACTCTCGTGTACTGCTGGACGCGAGTAATGACGTTTTTTACGGGAGTAATAGCTAGACTCGGGTAGGGCAAAATACGCGAGTCTAGACTAGAGTATGACTCGCGTACTCGCGTAGATTTGCAAGCCTGTTGTTTTGTTTTTTAGTAGGAACTGCCTTTTTATCAATTTAGGGCTGGGCATTTTCGAATACCTGATGATTTCAGAATCGAATCGAATATTTTTTTCGAGTCGAATCGAATATAGAATACTTGGGAGATATATAATTGTATGTAACTTTCTTCTTGTATTGGGTTTTCCAGACATATAAATTACTGGAAACGTAAAATACATCACTCTGACAGATTGCTGAGCGTTCACGGATAATAATAAACTTGTTTTCATCAAAACTCACTACAGAAAAAAGTCATATGTCAGAATTGCGTTGAAAAAAATATGGCCTCAATAAAAGGAGTAGAGAAATTTAGCTCGACAATTGGCAGAAAGGACAAAAAACAAGATGGCTGCGATTCGAAATTTCGCTCTGAACCGACTCGAATAATTTACTATTCGATTCGAATATTCGATTCAAAATTCCCAGCCCTTTTTATCATGTGATATCTGTCACTGAGTTTCCATGAAGTAAACGTAGAAATTGAATGATCTAACGGTTAGAAGAGTGTGTTGGGATCGCATATTACACATCTCTGGTTCAAATCTCATTCCCCTTACCCCACCCTAGTAAACTGAATCTCTTACACAATTCTGAACCTGAAAACTTCATGTCGCTCCAAATAATGGTACGGTAGTTCCCCACATATTGTCAGTTATCACTTGCTGCTTTCATGGAGCATTGTTCGGAGCAGAGCATGTGAATAAGCGCCGTATAAAAAACTAAACACTCTTCTATTTTTGTATAGTATGATTTAGAATTATTATTCTTAATTACCAGTTGCCATTATCTTTTCTGCCTCTGGAGCCATTTACAAAAGTATCGTTACACTAACATTCTAATGCATGTTATAACATATAATATTTTAGAATCGAATCCACGTTACATGAAATAACCATTCTTAAAACTCATCAAATAACTAAAGTTGCTTGTGGTTACCATCATGTTGCTGCAGTGGATAGGTCTGGTTCTACTTTTTGTTGGGGAGTTTCACAGTATGGACAATGTGGAATTGTCAAAGGTATTTTTTAAGAGTAAGACCTATAAGTAGTGATGGCCAAAAACAAATAATTTACCATATTTCCTCGCATATAATCCGAGTTTAAAACTCGAAAAAAAGTTGCCAAACTAAGGGGTCGGCTTATAGGCTATGCCATTTTTTTTTATTTAAATTTACCATTTTATGGGATCGGCTTATATGCGAGGATGTGCAGTAGTATTCTGTATACATTCTAAAATAATCTTTTCAAATATGAAATATCAAATATATTCTAAAAATGGGTCTGTTCCACAAGAGAAATTTACCAAGACAATTGTAAATTCGTAGAAATTAAATTTTTATATGCAGAATAATTGAGATAATTGTTGTTCTAATTAGTATTTTCTATTATATTCTCCCAGAAGGTAACTAATTTTTTGTCAGTCATAAAATAATTAATGGTTGAAAAGACGTTTTCAAATTTAAATGTTCTGAATTCTTCCTAGAATCAGGAATTTACAAAAGCGGATATAACCAATTTTAGATTTATACAAATGGAGTATTTTTAGAATTGTTTGAGGATTGTTCTGATATACATTGGTTTTCAAATTTCTGAAACGTTTGGGTATAATCATTCACTTTCAAAAGTACAAGCGCAAACATAATTGAATAAATGTTTTCGTATGAGTAATAAAAGAATTTATCATTTTTTTTTTTGCGTCACTCTGTATATTTGATTTTCCATATGTGAAAATAATATTTCATATTTATTCCAACTAGTAATTTTTTCGATTTTCGTTATCCCTGATTGACACATTCGTCACCTCTTATGAAACTGGAATCGATTATTTTGCAGACTTAGTTGCAGAACCCAATCGCATTGCATTGAATGGTATTGGCAAACAACTATGCATCATTGATGTAGCTTGTGGTAAAAATCATACAATGGCTATTACTAAAGATCATGAACTATGGGGATGGGGTGCAAGTAACATGATCGGAGGTGTGAACGCCACAAGAAGAAATGTTGCTTGCTCAAAACCTCAAATTGTAGAACATTTATCTGGAAGAAGAGTTTTCCAGGTCAGAATTTTTCAGATTCTATTTAGTGAAATAATGGACGATTGATCAATTAGTGATATCGAAAATGATTTAAAACTTTCGATTCTAAGAATACCTCAAAATATATTCTTTTAAATAGATGTGATTCTGCACAATTGACATCTGATGTTAAACCCTTTTTGGCTTACTTTTAATAAATGTAAAAGATTCAACTTTTGTGCCTTCAGTCTCAAACTTTTTGTGAAACTGTTTCTATTAAATTTTACCCAATTAGAATAGCTTTGATGATTCATATTTAAAAATCTTTGTTCATATCTTATTCGGTTTCGCCTACCCTTATAATAACAATCTTTTACAACTTCAAATATCTAAATTTATCCATACATATCACTAAACAACCAGTCAAACATGGATATGACCGAAGTGCAAATTTACCAATCAAATACAATTTATTGAAATCCAGTAAAATGTCAAAATTTGATTTTCATGCAATTGAATTAGTCCCACAGTAAACACATGGCATAGGTACCGGTATTCGAATTTGCTCACAACAAGGTCAAACCAACTCACTCTGAGTAAAGCTACGAGTGACCACCGAAATGCGACAGGCTAGAGAATCTATGTAGTTTTAGGGTAGAGGGTTAATCGATAGGTAATGCAGATTTACACAAGGCTTAAATCAGTTGAAGTCAATGTCACAGAAAAAAGCTACAGGATAGTAAATTTGACATTAATGAGGTTCTTGAAAAAAATACTTTTAGAATGAAAATTTCTTTGTTTTCGAGGGTACTCTAACAATAGATGAATGAGAGCTGACAGCAAACCAAGTATGACAGCTGAAAACAGTTTGAATTTTTTTTTAAAGGTGTCTGATATCTCATGATTTGGTCACCACAATTGAATAATTTCTAATTTTTAGGTCAGTTGTGGAAAGTTTCATACTGCTGCACTTACTGAAAAGCTAACTAAACAATCAACAATTGCACAACCTGATGCTTCTCCTACTTGTAACTTATGCAACCAAGAATTATACAAGTACGTATTGCTATTTGAACTTGAAATAATATAATTTCAATGCAAGGGTTTATGCAACAAGACCATTGGAAACCGGTAATGTCCAAAATGATTTGAATATTTCAAGCAAATTTAAATTTACATATATTCAATATTTGAATTTTTTAGTTTTGAAAAAAAAAATTTTTGGAACAATGAATGTGTCACATTATGACTAAATGTTTTTTATGTTTGTTTATATTTGCTCTGCTTTTTCATAAAAAAACTCATAAATATCCCAGTGGATCCCGACTTCCATTGTTAAATTCCTCTCTTCGACTATTTTGGAACTCTTTGTCCTCCCTCAAATGAAAAAAAAATCTTTCAACTTTATCTATAATGGAAATTAACCTAGTGTTATGCACAGTCGCATCCCGGCTTGACCAATTTAGCATATATTCGATATCCCATATTTGAAAATATTATTTTGGAATGTATTATATTATAAATATTATATTATTCGATTTTGATTTGAACGCCTGTTTGAAACCGTTTTTACCAAATTGTCCCACTAATTACAGGATGCAAGACAGTGATGATCAAGTGATTATAACAGATGCTCATATTTGTTCTCATAATTCTTTCATATCTGAAACGAGCGACGACTGCACTTCTAGAGCACTTGAGGTATTTTTAGTTGTATATTACAACTACAGGGAGTTGTTTGTTTAAAGAAGTGTTCATCAGTTTAGTGTTATTCCTTCTTTTTTCATCACAAACTTGGCATAGCTAAATTTTTTCGCAACCCTCAGAAATGAAAATAAAAATGAAGTTAGATTTAATAATACAGAAAATATTTAAAAAAAATTATTTAATAAAATAGATATATAGAACTAAGTCTTGCTATATCGTACATTCAACTTCTTTATGATTGCTTATGTGCACAAAAACTCATTGATAAATGTTCAGATATTAAAAAACTTATCATAATTTATATTTAATAATAAAGGTGACGCTCATTACTGACTTTTATTTTTATTTTGTATGTGCACTCTGTATTTTCGGTATGTGAAAAAAGAAATTAATGACTGAATTTTTCACAGTGCATCATAGTTCCTGTTACCGATTGTAAATGCGATGTGAGCTGAACATCTGGATAACTTGTGACGGGCAACCCATGCGTGAATAATTCTGCATCCTTACTGGTTATTTATCCATTTCCATTTTATTTTTCAGCTTCCACTGAAGCGACAAACTCATGGTCGATCTGTTTCTCTTCCATTTTTTCAAAAAAATAGTCCATTGTCTGTAAAAAAGGAAAGACTGAGCAAAACTCCACCATCAATCTCATTAATATCTCTATCTTCAAAAAATCATTCTTCAATTGAGAATTTATCCAAAGTTAAACCAGAAGACCCAACAAATAATCCAGCTGCAAGTTTTGAAATGGAAAATCTAAATTCAACGTCAAGTACGGAAATCTTGGGTACAAGGAACTATATAAAACTCAATAACCCTTCTGTACAAGAGAAAAGTGAAGTTACAGATGCTGTTAAAAATTTACAGTTGATATCTAATTTAACAAAAAGTTCATCTGTACCGAGTAATCTCTGTAAGGAAAACGGTGATGAAATACCCCATTTCCCTTGTAAAATTTTGTTAGAAGAAACATCCTCAATATCTTCAAACCTTCCAGAAAGTAACTCATCATCAATCAATTCACTAGATGAATGTAAATCTAGGATGAGATTGGAATTGCATTCTTCTACTTCAGGTATAAATATTGATGCGCATCATGCTAGGCGTTAGAATGTGCTCACCACCTCACCTCTGATCACCCCGCAGGTACGAATCCCATTTGGGGTTAGTTACGTAAGAGAGGATAGCTGGACTCCTTGCGGATTGCTGGTCGGTTAGCGCCATAGAGTCTATGCTTACAAAACAAAAAAATAACTGGCTAACTAATCCCATACCTGACATGGACTGGTAACCGGACGGGAGGCCGTTTTTCGCCATATGATTAAGTCGTCTTATTGGCTTTCCTCTTCCCTGGGAAAAATATGTACATCCTATCCTGTCCTAACAGAAGTGTTAAATAATTTTTTTTGAACCACCTCGTATATTCAAATAGTGATATTGTCTTAATGTTGTAACTTACTACTAAATTCAGGCTATTCATATGGAAATCTCAAATTTAGAAATATAAAGAGCGTAGTTAACTTCCACTTGAGATTTTAATTTTACTTTTTTTAGATTTAAAGTTTGATCCTGAAGCTGCTTTATCTTATTTAAAACATTTATCACCAGAACCAAGCAAAGAGAATTCAGTGTTTTTTCCTGATGCAGGTTACCTTGTTATTTTTTTCACTGCTGTTGTTAGGTTATGGCACCGCCTTTTCTTTAATTCTCTTTTTCAAGATTTTTATTTTTACCTCTTTATGCAGTGTTTTTCATGCATTTGCGCACGAAACAAGGCCCAGTTTTCGGTATTAATAGGCTATGAATTCATTTTCATTTATGATATTTTAACAATCTGAATTATTCTACTATGATGATTCAAAAAGTTTTTCCCAAAGTTTGTTGAATAACCTTGGTATATATAGCATTTATGCACCGAAAATTCCAAGTTTTTTCAAAATTGCATTATTAAAACATTATTACCTGTTTCGTCAATGAATCATTCTTTGTAATATTAATCTGTAATTTTCTTGACTCGTTGTTTCAGAAATTTTGGATACCGTTGACAATGAAGAATCAGCAACAAAATTTGAACTTGATGATAAAAATATTATTGGGCCAGCAAGACAGACTATTTCTGAAAGAGTAGGTATTATTGTTTGCATTATTAATTAGGCATTGTTTTTCATTAGGCACCTCACCATTTAACAGATGTTTTTTTGACTCTTGACTGACCCCAAGGAAAATTCTTTCCAAACGTCAGCATTGCGATGTAAAAGTTTTTTTCAGCAGGATGGTGTATGCAAACTGATTCAAATGTTCAAAATCAAGTATTTGACATTAATAAGTGCTGGCAGTTATTTTTAAAAGCTTAGTTTGTCTCATTTCTCTCGAGGGCCATTTTTGATTATGGCAACTGAACTGACACACTTATGAGGACAGAATGTCTGCATATTTATTAGATTTATGCTTTGTAAAGTAACAAATAACAACGAAAACTATGAAAACGAGTTAGCGTTTACAATCATGATTGAAATACTGTCTGTGAGGCTGCTCAATAAATCGATATGCCACCCTTGGCTTCTTGCTGTGTGGACATTTTTATGAAAATTAATATGGAATTTGATACTTGGATAACATCCATGTCACCTGTAATATTTCACTAAGCCATTGCTTTTTATCTTAGATAACTCAATCGATTACTGATAATCAACTTTTATCACCACTGACATCATATTCAAAAAACATGTTGACTGGAGTTATAGATGGCATTGAATGGATAAAAACTTCAACCTATGATAAAGGTGTCGCTCCAATTCGCGATTTATTGACAAAGGGTAATATTGTGTTAATAACTTGTTATTGTTATTGTAGATATTTTCCGAAAGGAATCTTTTCTATCTTTTCTTGTATTTTACAAACTTCAATCTGAGCAAGACTCTCCTTGAGCAGTCATCTCTTGGAATACACTATTTATTATACTATAATGGAATGATGAGCAATCGAAAACTATGCCAATGTACCACAATCTTGCTTTGAGCAAATTCCTTTGGGAAAAAATACTTGCTTATTTGTATGCCTAGTCATATGGTAAATATATTTAGGTTGCTAATATTTGGTATGAATGTTTCGTATTTATACTAGCAGGACCTATATTCTGTTTTTATCAAAAATATAATGTTACATAAGCATATCTATCTTTTCTTTTTTTCCTATATTTTCCAAATTTGTGATCATTGGAACACACATCTATGACAAGATATCGCATTAATTCTTTTTCTGTGTCCTCTTCCCAGATAAAATACAGCCAACAGAAGATGTCAAAGAAAAAGATGGTGAGTTTGATATTCAAATAGAAGATTGTTGCTGATCCCCATTGTCATCAACCATCCCATTCCTGAGGGTATTGACTCTCGGGTCAATCAGAATTTACTACGCCACCATAATTCTTCTGTGTGTTACCATGGGATTCCTGAGCAGGGTTGTACAACAGGCGGCCCGCAGGCCACGATCCAGTCCGCCAAGCTTTTATTGTGGCCCTTGTCAACACTCATATTTTTCCCTGTCAATCACAAAATCCTAATCTGTCAGTTTATGCTAAAAAAAGCGCTTATATGGGTAAAAATACGTGTTTTTTCTTTTATCGCTGTGGTAAATCATTCACGGTTTTGCTTGGTGTTTTTATTACCGTAAGGCTGAGCGATAGCCACATTCTCTTCAAAGCCGATGTTAACAATTTATACAAGAACTCAAAATTTCAAGTGTCTCACTAAAATGGTAAATAAATAATATTGTATTTCTCGACGAATTAGTCGCTTTTCTAGACCCAAATTTTTGGCCGGATTTTGAGGGGGTCGTCTTATTAGGCGAGTATGGTAATTTTCATTTTTTTGGTGTTGCCTTATTATGTATCAGGTAATGTTTGTTTATGGTGGCACAATCGCAAGTTGAACACAATTAAATTAAAATTTGAAGACAGTTGTTTGAATTCCTGTAGCTATTATGGATTGAATATTAACGCTACAAGAAAAAGTCATTATAGGCTATTTTAACCAATGCGCAAACGCAGCGACCCCTCAAAGGCATTGCATGGTAATTTGAGATTCCGATGTTGAGGCGATTTTACTACCCCGACTTGGCAGGTTATATGCAAAAACCCATTTTTTCAGGGTTAAAAACGGGCCTCGTCTTATTTACCGCTAGACTTATTCGCCGGGAAATACGGTATTTGTTATAGTGATATTTTTCTATTTCGTCGTGTACATGGAAAAACTAATTTTTTAATGTGGCCCAGCACGATATCTGAAGTTGGTTATATAGCCCACCGACAAAAAATGTTACACACTCCTGGTTTAGAGCTTTTTATTGAATTTATATTGGGAAGTCACATGAGTAGTTAGTTACTTTGGAGATTACCCAACTTGTGATTTACCCTGTAAATCACCCTATGAGTCTGTGGATGAAGCTTTTTAATCTAAATATGATTTTATTCTATTTAGTGGCAAGAATATGGGTAAACTATTCGAAAATAGCAAGATATTATTATGCACAATTATTAGGATAGTATGCACACTTTAGCATATAACTAATAATATTAAAGCGTGGCTTCTGAAAGAATCTAATGCTAAGTCTATCGATTAAACCAGGGGTGTGCAACCTTTTCTACAGGAGGGCCGGATAAAAATAACTGGGTGAAGCCACGGGCCGCACCTTTATTTAAGATAGCCTTTCTAGCAGTGTTAACTCTAAGCGAATTATGAGTGCGAAAGTGCTTCGCAGTCGAAAAAAAAAGTGCGAAAGTGCTTTTGCCGATTTTAACAAGTTAGGTGCTCTAGCCTTTCATATAACCCATTTAACACGGCATAGATACTCGAAAAAGCGCTCCTCCGGTTAATATTATGAATTAAAGAGAAGCCTTTCCGTTAACCGAGTTCCATTTAAGCGAATTCATGTTTAATTAAAACAAGCGAATTCATCGGCAACGAAAAGACATCTGCTAACACTTGCCGCGAACAAAACTTTCATGCAATGTATCACGGTGTCAGTTGCTCACTCGCGTGAACAGCAAAGGCTTTCACATTTGTTACTCCTTCCATCTAACAGACAACGATTGATACACGTAGGCTGGAAACCATATTAGTTACAGAGTGGATCATTTGTACAAATCCCGTGCAAAATAATCCCCCCCCCCCCAAATATAAATAGCAATCAACTAATTAGGGTTAGGTGCGCTGGAAATTCAACTTTTCGATTTATCCCTAAACCTAATCTGATAATTATTAATTTGTGATTTTGAACCACTTTGAAAGTCGCCACCCGCTGTTTTAAAAGATAGGTTAACCTACGTTCCCTCCGAAATATTACACAGGATACTCCCCTGTTTTAGGAGATAGGTTGACCTACTTTACTTTTAAACTTTTTTCTCCGAAATATTACACAAGATCACTTTGAAAATCCTCCCCTTTCGTGAGCTAGCGTGACCTAATTTCTCATTTACATTTATATTATACTATTTCAGAGCTTACCCAAAGACAAGTAATTTTTAAATGTCGACTTGCCTTGGTTTGCGTGCGAGTTAGTTTAAATCAGGCAGAAAACATCATATATTGGCAAAATGTTTAGCTATGTCATGTACTTTCAGCATTCATAAATAGCACTCTTTGTAATGCTGCTGACCTAGTATCAAATATTCGCATCACAACGCCACTTGCGAGGTTTCCATATATTTCAATTACACTAATTAGAACGATGACACCTAAGAGTCTTCTTTTGCGAAAGTACACGAAATATAACGAGGGTGAATCTTGAAAAAAACATGAATATAATAAATAAACGAATGATATGATAGTGGATCCCAAATAATTTTGAGAGTGTCTCGAAATACCAATCCATTTGATAAATAATTTTTATTCGACCACATGAACGCTGATATACGCATTCTCAGATATCGGACATCCAGTCGCGATATTCAATCGTTCATATGCACAAATCTCACATTAATAGTAATTGCTACCCACGTTTGTAAAGTTTAGAAACCAACAAACAGAAAATAACTTATCCTAAAACACAATTAAAACTCAGTCGGCATTAAATTCGTCGCCAAGACGATGCCATACAAAACAAAAAAGATTTGGTCGCGAGAGTTACGTTAGATGACTGCAAAACGACGTTGTTTTTTAAGCAGAATGTAAAACAATCAAATTAAAAAACGGGAGTTACGACGCCCTTAACACATCGTGTGTATTAAACTTCCCTGGTAAGTACTATTATTATTGTACTTATACACCTGTTGGAGTATTTCGGACAATTTCGAATTTAAAATTAATGAAAACCCGACATATAATAAAGACGCAAAAGTAAAATGAATATTTATTGAAAAAGTTATTATTTAAGAAAGACAACATGATCGTACAATTCCGCCCAAACCTCGATGTTCGCAAGTGAGATGATAAATAAATACTTCCCTGTATTCGAGCAATTAACTTTAGCGTATCGTTGTTCTGCCAACAAACAGTCGGGTGCAAAATATTTCCGTCCTGTGATATGCTCACAAATATTCTCGATATTAATATCATACTCTCGCGTATGTACTTTCTATTAGCTCTTTAGTGATCCCTTCCATCCTTGGCCAAGTCATGTTTTGAATATGTGAACATTTTATTCGACCATACATGGCCTGCGGGATGTTAAAATTGTAAACAAGAGAGAGTCGCAACAATCGCGAATTTCGTTTTGTTGCGCCCGTTATCGTCGAAATGATTACATTTGTTGTATTTTGAGGCATTTAAGCAGTAATAATTAGGGCATGACATCATCAAAATCGTCAAGTGAGATTTTGAAATTGCGAATTCCGTAAATAAAATTGTGAATTACTCGGTAACGAATTCAGCTTCAATGACCGTCGGGGTATTGTTTTGTTGAAAATTATAATTAATGTGTGAGCGCCAAAAACATATAGTCCATACCGATGCGACTGCAATTTATATGGCCGCACTTGGTGTGGCGCGTTTATTAATAGTGTAAAATAAATTAAACGAATATCAATTATAACCAAGCCTGTCAGCGTGTTTATTTTCTGTAGGCAAGAATCGTAAAATACCATCTTGAGACAAATTCACTTCTATTATAAAATCTAATTTTTCAGTTATTATCGTTATACAAATAACGTGTGGCAACTTTTTAATTTATCGTCGACCAAAAAACCGCCCCACACTCGTCCAAACGTGTGTCAAGCTTGACCGACAGGAACAGATTCATCGTCGACGTTAATTAGGGAAAATATGTATTTTGTTGGGAATGTAAAATAAATGTAACAAAACGCATTTTTTTGTGATAAAACTTTGTATTTTCGGAAACGGATTGCCGTGAAGGGTAAAATTTGATCTAAATTAATCGCAAAAATGTTTTATTTTAAATGTAACAAAACACATTTTGCGATTTAACCTTGTATTTTCGAAAACGGGTGTCCTGAAAAATAAAATATGATCTAAATTAATCGCAAAAATGTTTTATTTTAAATGTAACAAAACACATTTTTCGCAATACAACTGTATTTTCGGATACCGGGTGTCATGAAGAGTAAAATATGATCTGAATTAACCGTAAATAATGTTTCATTCCAAATGTATCAAAACGCATTTTTTTGCGATATATATAATTTTGTATTTTCGAAAACGGGGCGTCATGAAATATATTTATCTAATGTTTTATCTATCGTCTAACTAACGTCTGGTACACATCATTTTCGGGGAGAACTCTAGCCCGCGAAACGTCATTTAATTTAAAATAGAGAATGTTCCACGCATTCCAAAACGGAAAATCACCAGTAAATCGACAGGAATTCAACCCTCCGGATTCAGTATTCTATATCCCCCGTGTCAGAAATTTCTGAAGATTGGAACAAAGAACCGGTCAAACCGCCGCGGAAGAAGGGGAGTATTTTTTGCACTAATAGTTAGGGCGTGACATTATCAATATCGTCAAGAAACTGGTGAATTTTCAAATTCCATAAATAAAATTGTGAATTGCTCGGTAACATTTTAGCTATAATTATCGCCGGGGTATTGTTTTGTTGAAAACATGTTGAAACTTGAGGGAATTAGTTACAATTAGCGCCTGACCTCTTCGAAAAAAAAAGCACTCGAGTCCAATCTTTTCAGCATTAAGTCGCATACGTAAAATATCCTGTAAAAGAAGTGCTGTTCATTAACGTTATCTCGTCCTATGATCACGCAGAAATGCCTTTATTGCCGAATTATTCAATCACTATTTTAAATCAACATTCAGGATTGGCACATTTCAGATTTGCCAAGTTTATCACCATAGAAAAACATGGGAAAGTTAATTATCGTCTTAATAAATATCAGCATCACGGTATCGACAATAATATTACCATTCGCATAAAATTGGGACCGTAAATTTACAAATTTTGATAGGTAATATTAAAGCCAACGCAAATGTTAATTTGAGTCCCCAATGTCTTCAACAGCTGTTGCCGATGTGAACAAACGGGTAAACCCGAAATATAAAACTTCGATGTCCGCCGACCGGCAAGAATTTATATTTGTAAAAAAGAGAGGGCGGGAATATAGATTAACAAAACCTGGATATCGCCGCCAAAACGATCGGTGACAAGAACAATTAGCGATTACAACGGAATTAACCAGTAAAAAGGCTTTGTTGCCAATTCTTTAATGTTTCAACCGACGTTCCAAAAATATTTGTTATTCGGTACTCGTTAAAAATACTCAATTCAATAAAATATTGAATTTTGCCCACCCGTACCCGCATATCAATGAGAAATAGTTGTGTAAATATCGCAAAATGCCACGTGCTTTCAACATTGTGATTACAATAAAATGGCACTTAATGGTATTTTGTGAATTTGGTGATTTTGCAAATCTGTGACATGCTTCTAAAAGTTTCGTCTGATTTGAAAATCGTGCACTTTGGTCACAATACATCCAAAGTGACTATAACACTTTACTAACACTTTTATAGTCATTTTGAATTCAACGATATCATTGATAGTCACATGACCACTTTCGTTCAAAGAAAGGCACTGGTAGTATTCCAACATCTGGTTTCAAAGACGGGGAGCGTTTTTGCGGGAGAAGCGGAATCGGTGTGCTTGTATAATAATCATATTATAAACAAGAATTTTGCCGTTAATGCAAAAGCTTTATCTACTATGTCTGCATATCATAGGTAATAATTCCGGTAAATATCGTTATGATATGCAGAATTGAGTTACAAAAGTACTAGTATGTTACTTATTTGTCAACTTAATACTCGAAAATATTTGTTAACTTTGAATTTTTATTCCATTCAAAATCGGAAAAAAGTGCTATTTCTGTTCAAAATCGGAAAAAAGTGCTATTTCGCAGTCCCTAAAAAAAGTTGCGAAAGTGCTTCGCAATTTTCGCAAAAAAGTGCGCTAATAGTGAACACTGCTTTCTAGTAGTTGTAGGTGCAAAAATTGGTTTCTTTTTGTTATGGATCTTACTAGGGATTCTTGCAGAATGGTGAGTTAAAACAATAAATTTCTAAAAAAAAATGCTATTCAAATTTATTGTCACACCGACTTTAGTTACACGAATTTAGTATGAAACACGTATTTTGCTAGCTAGTTTTGCTAATATGACATAGGTACTATGGTACCAGTATACGCTTTTCGACACTAAAGGATTGGAATTGCTTGCGCGTACCAGATCATATCAACTAAAAAAACTTGTTTGGCACATAAAATTGGCACTTCTCCGCAAATTTTTTTTTGTTGTGGGCCCCAGTTTCCACACCCCTGGCTCAAATAGTTAGGCCTCCGCGCTGCCCAGGTGAATATGAAAACTAATTTACTAATGATGTTCATCACCTAAGTATTAATTTATTTTTACAGAAGAAAAGTTTGCATTCACTAGTGACCATGTATCAGATCCATTGCGCTCTGTGGAAAATAATTTTTTTGGAAATAGAAATGAAAAAAATGAATTTAATACTACTGATCATGAAAATAACCTGACACTTCATACAGAAGTATGGACGTGGGGTGAAAATAGCAATGGAGAATTAGGAATGGCAGATTTGTTGGATAGGTAAGGCAGCTGTATATATTTTAAACCGTGCTGGGATTAGGAATATACTTGCCATTGCACCTCTGATTATCCCGCTTGGGTTCGCAGGTTCAAATTCTGTTAGAAATATTTGAACGCGAGAGGATTGCTCAACTCCTCACTGCTGTGGGGTGGTTCACACATCCAGTGGTGGGTCACGATTTCCCTCCATCGTCAAGTCCATGCATCTGAAACGAATAACTGGCCAGCTGATCCCTCACCCGACACGGTCTGGTAACCAAATGAGAGGCAGTGGTGTGCCTGTGTTAAGTAGTTTTATCGGGTTTCCTTTCCCCCGGAATTCATACGAAAATCCTGTCCTATTCTTTCAAAAAAAAATTAGTCACATCAATTTCAAATTTGAAATATGTGTTTTTTATATTAGGGTGTTAAGAATTGCAAAATATCAGGGAAATGTTTTTGATTTTCCTTTATTATTTCACAGTTTTTATTGGTTTTGTTGAATGATTTTGACTAGGTAATCAAAATAGATATGAATTATAGAGAATACCTCAGCGAGTATCCATCTACTGAAATAGCAGCATACATACCCTTGTAATATTTTTTCGTATTTTTTCTTAGATTTCATCCAGTTTGTGTCAAAACTTTGAGTCAGCGAGGTGTTGTGAAAATCAAATGTGGTTCACATCATACCCTTGCATTAACAAGTAATTCAGAAGTATATTCATGGGGGAATAACAAGTATGGTCAACTGGGACACAATAATCCCAATACGAGCAGTCCTATGAAGGTACGATTATTGAATGTCTAAAACTAATCGAATGCATTTGGGATAAATTATGTCTAATATAGTACAGTGGAAACTCTTACTTACGAAATTAATTTGTCAGGAAGTCGTTTCGTAAGCAGAAAATTAGGAATTAGAGGAACACATTTTACCTCATAAATGCCCTAATCTGTTTTAAGCCCTCACAAAACCCTGACATAATATTTGTATAAATTATAAATATTGGTTAAAACCTGAAACAAATACATGTTAGAATTAGATTACTGCATAAGAAATAGAAAAGGTATACATGGAAAGAAGAAAGAACAGAGAAATAACAAATAAAAACTATGGACGTTATGTTTGTTTACCTTTGGTGTTGGCGTGGGGATTTGAGTCCGGGATATAATCTGTGAAGTCTACTGGTTTAACTGCTAGACCAGGGGTGACCAGGCGATTGTTTCAGCTTGTTAGATTTCTCTCAAATTATGTTTATTTTTCATTCAATTTATGGAGGTTTTTGCCGGCCGTACAAAAACTCGTTACAGGCCGCATGTGGCCCGTGGGTCATAGTTTGCCTACATCTGCGACAACCATAATTTAAAATCTAATCATCTGAAAATTTGTCATTTTGAACGTATAACATTTGATGGTCTTTTATTTGTTCATAGATTGAATACAAGGACAGAATATGGGATATTAGTGCAGGAAGACATCATACATTATTACTAGTAGACGGAATATCTGATGAACCAAATATAATTGTTTGTGGATTTGATGAGGAATCAAACACGGGTCCTATTCATCCTCTTAAACTTAATGGTATTTATTTGTAAAATTCTAATATTAAAATTATGTACTGAAGCGTGGACTAGGGTGCCTATATCGAAAGAATATTAAAATTGATTTGATTTAAAATTTTTGAAATTAACAATTTATTATCTTAGTTTAAAAATAGTTTTATTCGAAAAATATCATTTATATCCTTCAAAGCAGGGGTGTGCAACTTTTTTTGTCAGTGGGCCATATAACTTACTTCAGACATCTAGCCGGCCACACAAAAAATTAGTTTTTCAATGTACATTTTACAAACGAATTCAAAAATTCTCACAAATGCAAAATTTTATTGTTTAACATTTTAGCAGGACGGTTGAAATTAGAGTTATTGAATAGTTTGGTAACATCAGCTTTGACAGAAGTTGTAGCAAGTAGCAACCTTAACTGACTTTACAAATGTTTATACAGGCAGCTGACAAGAGAAGATGATATGGGTATCGCTTAGCCTTACAGTAATAAAGGCATCGGCAAAATATTTAATGCAGCGACAAAAGCAAAAAAGCATTTGTATTTTCATCCATGTGAACGCCTTTTTAAACTAATTTCGGATCAGAGTTTGACAAGGGCCACACTGAATAGCCTGGCAGGACGGGTTGTAGCCTTTGGGGCGCCCTGTTGTAGCAAATCCTGCTTTAGAGATTCCTATGTGTATGCCTTCGCATCTATTAAACCAGTTGTTTTGACATTTCAATCCCAAAAATGGAAAAAGGTGCTGGAAGCTATTACTTTTTTGTTTATTGAAAATTTTCTGATATTTTGCTCCTATTTTTTTATCGTTTTTTTAATTTACAAGCACACTTTCATCTTTGTGTACAATTTTTTAACATTCAAATCATGCTGAAATTGTGTTTACCAAATTTATAAGGGATTTGACCTTCGTCCCTTATATTCGAGCATTGTTCTCTTGTTGTATTATGGACAGTTACATGGATATCACCCCCGCTACATATTTAATTGTTTACATTCTATTCCTTTTTTATTTTAAATTGATTCAGAGAAAAAGAACCCGAACAGATGGAAATTACGTCCCGTTGAATGTTCTCACAAAATGGGATTTCAATGCACTGTTGTTGCTGGATTTTCAACTTTGTCTTCTTGCCTAGCGGAAAAAAATTGTTCGAGTGAGTAATATCAATGATTAACAGGTTTATTACACTGAGTAGGTCTGAGATTTTGTGGCCCGGGTATCTTTTCATTAGGCACAGTCGGCGCTCCAGAAGTGTGTGTACCAATGAGGTAACTAATTTTGTTCGCCTACTTTACATCTAGTTGTGTGCAGGGACGAAAGCCTATGGGCAGGATAACACAAACAGTCCCGAACTTGTAATAGAACTAAAATGAGAAAAATCGGAATAAAATTATGGCCTAACCCTAACCTGGTCCACTATACGACGGAGTACTGGTACAGTCTACCAACTTCTTGGTATGGTTGGACTTAGATTAGCTGCATTACTAATTCCAACTTGCCCTAATAGATAATTCCTACACCGTGCATCTATACTGCTTGTTAAATAACAAGATCTATTGAAAACAGAAAATTTCGCAACATGTTGGCTTATTCGAAATGTTATCTATGAGTAAGATATATAGTACCCTGTCTTCTTAATTGTTACCCGCCCCATTTTCTCTTACGCATGATAAATCTTTTCTGTTGCTTTATACCTGTGTATTTTCGACTCCCAAAATTGCTCCTATATGTCATCTCCGTCGTCATTTGGTTTCACGTTTTAATTCAAGCCACTGAGCAGCCATGCTTTTCCAAATCCTGAAGAAGAGTGAATTTATTCAACTAGACTAATGCTGATAAGAAACAGACATTAATTGCCGCCCCCGGTCCACACACTCTCTACTGGTGCAGTGATGTCATAATTCCTTTTTGACAGTAATAGTCCGCAGAACGAATGGCAAATATTAAAATATTTGAATTTTTATAATTGGTTATATTGATATAATAATATATGGTTTCAGGAACAATTATAATATTTTTATTTGAAAATTTTATTATTTTCATAGTAACTAACTTTAATTCGAAATTGCGAGGGATAGAAAATTATATAAAATATGGTTTTTTCAACTGTTCTGTACTAACGAATACAATGTCCTTGAATTTGAAATTATATCTGGAAATTTCTTTGTGGAACATGACTAAATTTAGAATATCATTGAAATTTATTCTATATCTGGAAAAAAAAATTTATAATTCGATTTTGGCAGATTTTTCCAACCTTTTTCAACATATTTTTAAAAACAAAAAATTGTCAAATTTTTCTATACTCATCTTTTTGTACTTTGCTACCTAAATATTTATTTGACTTGATTTCCAGTCATCACTCATAATCAAAATTTTACTTTTCCATTACTGGTGTAAATTTATTTATTTTTCAGAATTATACAAACACCTTGAAAACTCAACATACAGTGATATCATTTCAAAAATTTTTGAATTGTTTGGAACTCTGGCTTACAACTTAGGACTAAATACTGTTCATCTCACTCGAGCTATAACCTCTGGAAATGAATGTCAAAAGAATACCTTTATTATGTTGGGAATGATTCGATGCAATCATATGAAAAGTGAGTTTTCTTTGTAGAGTTATTTCGGAACATTTTTTTACAATGCTTTCAAGCTATCCATATTGTAAGACTTATAAAAACTTCAAATATCGTTTTCTGAGGATGTGTCTTCGTGTATAAGATAATTTTGTTCAGAAAGTTTTATCACACTATTAAGTAATTCGAAAGTTGATTACTAATCATTGGTTTAATATTTATATGTTTTCTGCAGTTAATTTTCACTTTCTATTTCAGATACTTCAAGTCTCTCCAATGATGCAATTGCATTTGGATTTTTTGAAAAATGTGAACAATTGAATGTAAAACAAATCAAATCAAAGTTTTTATCTTTGCCCGAAAATTGTAAAAATATTTAAGGTGGTTTATATTGTTCAGTATTTTTTAATTTTTCATTTTTATCAAGATTTTTGCTTCAAAAATCTGTTAATATATCCATTTTGTTTTAGGAACTTCTTGGTGACAAACGTTTTTCAAAATTGCCTTCAGAAAATTTTCTTCAAATTTTGCAGTTGCCTGCTTTCAGAATACATGAATATGCAAAGTTATTAAATAAAGTGTCTATAGCTTCAGATGAGGTAGGTGAAACATGTGTCCATTTTGAAATAAAGTGATACCTTGGTAGTCGAACATAATTCGTTCAGGAATGGTGTTTGAGTTCCGAAACTTTTTCGCCATTAGAAACTATGGTAATTATTTTAATTTATTCTAACACATCTTGAAAATATCTTACCTAAAATATTAGCAAAACGTGTACCTGAACAACAATAATTATTTAAATGTGTACATTTTAAAGATTAAACATAAAGAATAAACATCACAAATTGGGGGCTCCCGAAGTATGCGAACCAAGATGGCGGACATCGGAATGTAATATGTGTACTAGGTTAGGGTTAGGCCATAATTTTAGGTATAAATACTACGGGAGGCTCTTGGCTAGTCTTCGAACTGATAATAGGACTAAAATAAGGAAAATTGGAAAAAAATTATCGCCTAACCCTAACCTGTTACCCATGTTACGTTCCGATGTCCGCCATCTTGGTTCGCATACTTCGGGAGCACCACAAATTGTGCGCTTTGTGGCAGTTCCGCTTTAGCATTAGTCGTACCGGTACGGTAATGGTAGTCTATCGTGACAGATTGCATATCCATTATCCATACTACTTCGTTTTGGCCTTCGTGTCCAAATGTTTGAGCATTGCCTTCTTGTTGAATGATTGAGATATGCGGTTTGAGTGATGTCATCTTACTCCGCGACACGGTCGGGTGTTCGAGCACCGAATTGAAAAAATTCTGTTTGTGTAGCATTTTTGACTAGAATATTTTGGTCAAATACCGAAGGGTTCGAATATCGAGTCGTTCGGCTACCGAGGTATCACAGTAAATCGAATTCTTGTTTAAAATTCTAACAAACTAAGCTTTTTAAGGTTTGAATGAATATCCTAATGTATAAAAACATCTATTCATCTCATTAATTGGTCTCTTTTATTATTAATCCTTTGTAAAGCACTCAAGGAGATCGAAATATTTTCATGTTAATGGCAGTCAATCTTTATATAGTTTGTGTGGTTAAGGTGTTTGAAGTTTGACAAGAGAAAAATAAAAAATATTGGAAAATTTTTAATTGAAAAATTTACTTCGCAATGTCAATGTAATATTGAATAATTCACTATTTTGAAAAGATTTTCTAAAATAATATTTTCTAATATAGAGTATCTGCTAAATTGGCTCATGTTCAACAAAAAAGCTTAAATGATTGTGAATTTATGAAAATTGAATTTAGTAATGCAGAATTCATATCCTGTATCCGCTTATATGTCTATATATGTAAATGCAATAGTTGAGATAAACTAACACTTGGTTATACCTACATAAATATTTTTAAAAAACATGAGAACATTACTACAATTATTCTTTTTGTCCAGGATCATGATCTTTCATCATTTCTTCAAAGTCTTTCCAACAGATGGGAAGAATTATGGACAAAAATTAATAATCAACTGCAATCTGCTAATAATACAAGGTAATGTATCAAAAACTTTTATTTTATTTTGCAGACTTCAATATGTCATACTCAAGAATAAAAAAGATTAAATATTGGTGTTGTTGTTGTTTTGGAAAGTTTAATTATCTCAGTGGCTATATCAGGGTTGTCCAAAACGAATCGAATATTCGAATGTATTCGAATATCAAAGTATTCGAATACCTTTTCGGCTTATTTTCGAATAATTCCCAATAGTAGCCACATTTCGCCGTAAACGTTGTGTTTCGTTTTACGGGAATCTTCAAACGACTTTTTATGCTGTCTCACGTATTGTAATGACGATGAAATAGAATTGGCACTTTGATTGTTTAAATTCCGTGCGACCGTACGTCGCATAGTGTTGCGACACATTTGCACGTTTGCGTGGGTGGACATTGCCGATATACGTCTACGAGGCTTTTAATTTACAAATTCATTTCAATTACGTCGGAAAATTGACAAATACCGTATTTCATGATATTTATTCGCAGGCCGGTTATCGTTACTTTAAAGAGAAACACGGCCACCGAGATAAAGTGATTTGTGACCCTTTCGTTTTGCCGATTCAGCAGAACACGACAGGGACAGGAAAACACAGCTGTGAAATAACCCGTGGACGTACAGTGTAGTACTTATCACATTCCAAAATTATTTCAACATTCGGGTTAATAGGTTGTCCAGAAGGATTGCCGCTTTACAACTTAAATTTACCGCTCAATTGTTAAAAATAGATAATTCTGTGAGTATGATTCTACCAAACTAACATGATCTTGTTCTGAACATATAAAATAATTAGCGCATATCAGCATAACTGAACAACAGGGACACAATTTTGCTACCCTTCTTATTGGAGGCCTATATGAAAAAAAAACTTTTTTGAGTGCTAAAAATAGACATCGTCCTATTTGCCATGTGGACTTATTAGCCGGGAAGTACGGTATTTATAGCCGTCATTATTACGATATTCAATAAATTGCCACAAGTTGGAAAAACAAGTCGATTTATTAGAACATAATTTCTGGCAAATAATTCTGATAACGATAGGTAAAAATATCGATCTTTTACCAGGATGATTTTTTGTTGCACAAAATAATCCAATCCATGACTGGTACCAGCATTTAAAATGTCATGCCGTAATATTTTAATTCTGTTTAACATAACTCATGGTTGTATCGACTATCTGTGGACATAAAATGTGTGGTAAACTGCCCAATTATAATTAATTTCGGATTCGTATTTACAAAATAATAAAACTATTATAATTCTAAAATGCAACGGCGATCTGTCGCCTTCAAATGTGTGGTAAACTGCTATGCCCGATTTACCAACATTTGAGTTAGGATAATAGAATTAAATTAACACGGTAAGGCATTTTAAATAGTGGTATCGGTCATGGATTCGAATATTTTGCGCAGCACAAAATCATCCTAGTAAAAAGTCCATACTACAAACCAATGGCAACCATTATCCAAATTAGTTCCCAAGAGCGGGATAAAGTGTAAATTCTTTTTCCGACTTGTAACATTTTTTCGTGATCAAAAACTAATTATATTCGGCATAATATCACAGCAATCTGTGGACATAAATTGTGTGGTAAACTCGCGATTAATATTAATTTTCGATTTCTATTTTCGTATTTACAAAATAGAACGGCGATCTGTGGACTTAGAATGTGTGGTAAACTACCCGTTATAAATAGTTTTTGAGTCGGAAAAATAACTCATACTTTATCCTGCTTAATTTTGATAATGGTTGGTATTTAAAAGTATGAGCGTTTTACTAGGATGATTTTGAGTTGCGCAAATATTCAATTCCGTCATCGATACCACTATTGCCGAATTAATTTAATTCTGTTAACATGACATATGGTATATAAAATAAATACTGCAATAATCTGCAAATATGAAATGCCTGGTAATATAGCTAGGTTGTAACTTGTAGATAGCAGTTATTCCATTGCTTATTGTATGGAAATTCCTACATACATTTAGATAAGCTTCAATTAGTGGATTTTATTTTCGAAGTATTCGAAATTTCATATTCGGAAAAAATAATTTCGAATGTATTCGAAATAGTGAACTATTCGGTATTGGCCATCCCTGGGCTATATATATTGTTGTAAATATTGTTTGAACTAAACTTGGCGGTGTGGCACTTCATGCTAAGCGCTAGGGATATGCACGCCACCGCACCTCTGATTACCCTGAGTGGGTTCGGTTCGCAGGTTTTCATCTATGTGCGAGAGGATTGCTCGCCGCTGTATGCGTGTTCACGAAACTTCTAGTCGGTTACGGCTTCCTCCACCATCGCGTCCATGCATCTGAAAACAAGTAACTGGCTAACTAATCCCATACCCGACATGGACTGGTAACCGGACGACAGACCTGGGTTTTCCATATAATTCAACCGTCTTGTGAGTGAGTATCTATGTAAGTCATTTCCTCATCTAACCTCAAAACCCTTCGAATCACTTGGCCAAGTTCGATATATCACTCAAATCTATTGCCTAGACTCAAATTTTTTACACTTCGATGGTAGCTATGATAGTCATGGTTGGTTATGCAATTTAGCCGTCTTTTAAGGAATTCTATTTCTCTTGATAAATATGAAAACATGTATTTTTTGCTTTCATGCAATCCTTCCTATTTTTGTTTATTTCTGCTACTGATGTTTATCGTATATCTCGTATAAAAACGACCCTGGAACAGTGAATTCATAAAAATTCGTATATATGAGCCGACCCTACAAATCATAACACGCTGTACATACCTATCACAGCAAATGATTGCAGAAGAGAATTCATAAAAATAAGCCATGTAAGCCAAATTTTCAGTGTGATTTGAGTTATATGCATATAACCTTTTTATAAAAAATTTTTTTTTTTTTGAGATTCAAACTCGACTTAGATACAAGGATATACAGTACACCTTATTTCATATTTACTAGTACTGGTAATCAAATTTTATAATTATGATGTTGTGACGATGCATATTAAATTATATCAAGCGGTACTTTTCTACCTTATAGAGGATTTTGGAAAAACGATTTCAAATTTGGTGCTGGTGGAAAGTTAGCAGAATCTTTGAAGAAAGTTGGTCGATATTTGGTTATTCACAGTAAGAAGATACCTCTCGATATAGCTCATACTGGTAAATAACTTGGCTCAAATTGGTACTTTGTATTTGTCAATTTTATTATGTGGAAGCCAGCAAAGGTACACACAGCCACATAAGTTCGTAATCCTGAATGTAATCATTCCATTAAATATCCATCGTTTTAAGGCTTGTATTAACGTATTTGGCAAGTTAGAAATCTCTGGTTCAAGCCCTGGTCAGACCAGGCGTTTAAATTGCCTGTAGGGATGTGCAACAGGCGGCCTGTGAGCCACAACCTGGTCCTCCGAACCGTGCAGTGTGGCCCTTGACAATACTCGGATTTTTCCCAACTGGCATGAAATCGTAATCCGACAGTTTACATATTTTTCAAGCGATAGCCGCATTCTCCTCACTTACCGTACCTTTCATTTCAGAATATATTCGCTAACCCATATTCGAAAATATTGGAGTATATTTGAAACAGTAAATTATTCACTCATACCATCTTTAGTTAAATATTTTGGTTGAAGCCCCGATACAATCTTCTTGTTTTATATCTCAGGTAGATTCAGTATGAATTGGTTCATATTATTCAACGATTGTTTGGTACTTGTGCATTATGGTACACATTTTATACATCCATTAAATCTCTTATGGTGTTCATCGATTACAGACCCAAAGCAAAAAAGGTGAGCATATATTTGAATATAAATTTATGTTTGAGTCAAAAACAGAGTATTATAATAGGTACTGCTTTTTGTAAAAGCAAGTGGTATTTTGGAGTGGAACTAAACGCAAAATATTGAAGAGAATATGAGCGTTTGTCTATTTGCATCAGCTTACCATTGCATCTCCGTGCAAGCTGTCTGGAGAGCATTTTTTGTTTATTATGTGTTGAAGATTGATCACTTGCTCGTTTAAAATAATTCTCTACATCATTTTAGAATATTCAAAATGCATTGCAACATGTATATGCACACCCATAGTTTGAATCATTTATTGGGTTTTAGGTTGCAGAATTCATTTTTTGATGCAAGAAGTAATACAACAATAATCTACAACAATCAATATGATATATAATATCCCCTTTTTCAGTCATTTAATCAAAATTGTCACTCCTGAAGAAGAAATTATAGCCATTGCTGGAAACGAAGAAGCCAAATCGACTTGGGTGAATTCGTTCAATCGCACAATAAATCATGCAATTTCAAGAAATGATGATGATAGAGACGCTTCTCAACATTATTTGTATGTTTACTTTAAATTTCATATTGTCTCCCTAGCCTGAGCGGGGTTGCAGCTTGCAGGTTTGAATTCTGAAGGGATGGTTAAGTTAGAGTAACCATAGGGCCATTCAGACTAGAGCTCGACCGATATCACTTTTTGGCACCGATAACGATATATCGGCCAACTAGTGACCGATAACCGATATCGACATACCGATATCTACAACCTGAACCCGCAGTAAATACAAATAGAAAGAAACATTCAGTTTCAGTCAATCAAAATTTTATGTTGAAAAATAAAGCAGTCCTACACAGTGCTTGCATCATTAATAAAAGTTTCACAGCAAATAATAAGAACATACATTATTGCACAAAAGGAAAAAGGCAGTCAGTAAAAAGCTTATAGAAGTTCATTTTGATACATACAGTAGTAGGTGGGAGTAGGCTTGCACGTAATTTACGGATTTACGGAATTATTTCGAGTTACGGAAGGGAAGTTACAAATTACGTAAAGTCGTAATTATTGGTCGAGCGCTTTCGCGTTTGAAACGTGCTCCTTCCAAGCAGTCAATTCCGTCGATTGTAAAAAATGAAAGTTTAACAAGTAGAAGAAGTTAGAGTTCCGGTATTCGCAGCCGTTTTGAGCCGGCATGATGCGTTGCCACCCCGTTTGAGCGTTTGGTTTCACGGTCAAAACGATATATTTATAAGCGTTATCACCGTAACGCAATTAACACCGACAATCTTTTTTGTCTTCACGATTTGGTATCTTTTCTATTCGGCGCTGATAATGATGAATAAGAATGTGTGATAGTTGATTGTAATTCCGGAAGGCGTATTTTTCTTTCTCTCCGTGAAACAGACATGAAACGAATTTTACCGCCGCTATAAGCGCTCAAAAGGAGAGAAGGCTAGGCTACTTTCTTTTCCTGACTCAATCACTTTTATTAATACAAATCACAGCGCATTGAAAAACAAAATAGAATTTATTAGGATTAATTTACAACGAGTTACGGGTAAGAATTTATCGCCGGCTAAATAATTAATATTTGATCTAAATTTATCGCAAATAATGTTATAACATTTAGGCCGCGAAATGATTTGATATAAAATCAAATGCTGAATCAATTCAGCATCAATAATTATTATCAAATGCTAACTAGGTAGCAAAGTCGGATAATGTAAAAACGGAGCAATAACAAGTCTTCGTAGCGAGGCAAGCGCAGGTATAATCAAACGAGAGAATACGCTTGTCGTTGATTAATAACTTAGAAACCCGAAATTTTTATTCAATCCGAAAGTCGATTTTAAAAAAAGGCAACTATCGTTTCATAAATATTCGTATACCAGTGTCGGTAATGATAAAATTGATCGCATAAAATTGGGACGGTTAATTTGCGAAGTTGATAAAGGAAAATCACAGCCAACACGAAAGATAAAAATCAGAATAAATTTAATTTGAATTCACTCCTTGGTATTTGTCTTTAACATCTGTCGCCGGCGTGTAGTACTGTCGGTAATATGAAAACCAATTACGATGTCCCGTTCGGAAAAGAAGTGGATTCAAATGGTTTTTATGATAGGTTTAAATGTGTGAAAAAATATCGAAGAGATAAAAGAGAGAGAAATATGGAAGCGAACTCTGTTCACTGAAAGGCAAAATGAGAGAAGCGAAAAAAAGAAAACGCTCGGCCGCAGATATTTCCCGGGGAAAAATACTCATTTATTAGAACGTGGAAAAGCGACTAACACTGATATATATCGGCCAGATATATCGGCCGGTTGGGCCAATATGATATATCGGCAAATACGCAACATCGGCCCGATATATCGGTTCTAATTCAGACTTGATTCAAGGATTTCTACCTGGCCAATAGCGTTAAAAATGAAAATATATCTTTATTCTTTGGTTAAAAAAACTTATGAACAAAGCTAGCCAGACATGATTATGATATGTGTTGGGGAATTAGAATCTTCCATCATCGACTGTGATATCAGCTAATGGCCCCCATATCCGTGCCATGCAGTCTTCACTGCTGTGACTTCTATTATGGATGGAATGTTATCACAGGCAACAAATTTGTGTGCCCTACAAAATTAAATTTGCTGCCGCCCATGGGAACATATCGGTATTGGGGGCTGTAGAATTGGGATTATAGACCTCAAATAGTCCCTTGTGTTTGGGTTCTCGATGCGATGCCAAATTTTGGTATTGGTAATTATATATTGTAGGCTACCGATATGAGCCTTTTTTAAACATTATCTTCCAATTCTCTCTTTCTTGGTGATATAAGAACTAGATCACGAATCGTATCGCGACTGAGGGTCTCGGAATGAGACTGCTTTGCCAGTCTTCCATAAGCACGCAACCCACGTTCTACAGTTACAATTCTGAACGGATGTCAGCTTTTGATATTTCATAGTTTGACAAACGCACGCTCGGATCAGTTCAGCCAGATCAACTCGTCTTTTCACGAGAGCCCTTTGCGAACCATTCTTGCGTGTTATTTGCGTCCGAAACGAATGGAATGGTAACCTATGTTCATGAAATAATTGAGACGTATCTTTGAGTTTTCTCTCCTATAAGACACATATGAAAATTCTATATTCTTATACAATCCTATTTATCCTATTATTGTTGCTTCAGGGCACCATCATCTGCAAGGCATGCCTCCCATACTTTCACTAAAAACAATGAATTAAAAGGTGTAACATTCACTGGTGCTTGGTATAATGGAAAACCTCATGGTAGAGGGGAGATGTGTTGGCCAGATGGTAGAACTTACAAAGGACAATATAAAAATGGCAAAGAAAATGGGTGAGGCTTGTCTTCATAATTTCAATCCATATCCAAATAGAGGACTTAAACAGGCACTACTGATAGCTGATACTTAAATACTGATGCATATAGCTTTACTGTGCTTATAAAATGTTTGCAGTTATCATATTTCCATTTAATTCATTGGGGTTGTGGGGGGTATGAGGATATACCTGCGAATTCACGAGGGGTCATCAGATGTGGGGTGGCAAATGTATTCCTAACGCTTTGCACGGTGTGCCACACCGCCGAACCAAGCTACGATGCCAATTGCCAACACAGTTAAGTCTAACGCTTTAACTTCTTGGACATCGCCCTAATACATCTTTGGCAGTACTATGTGAATGTGCCTTCAGAGAAACTTTACTGTAACTTAACTGGGATTGTATTCTTTCTTAGATTTGGTGAATGGAGGAACGCTCCTGGTGCTACATCAAAATTAAAATATCAAGGTTATTGGAAGGAAGGGAAGATGGAAGGATATGGAAAATTATGGTATAATAAATACCAGACTTACGAAGGTATGAGGGAAGACTGGGCTTGTGACATAGAATTACCTCTTTGTCATATGCTAGGCAATGGAAATTCAGTTGGACTACACTCAATAAATTGATAATGATGGAAAAAGAGTTAGAACTGTTGATAATGGATAAATATAATAGATGTATATGTGAACTCAGTGACTGATAAGTCAATTTTATTGAAATAACTTGTAATGATTTTTCTTGGTGAATGAAAATCTGCTCATTTTTATTTAGCAGAATTCAATCTTAGGAATCTGTATTTTTTTTTTTTTTTCAAATTTTGAATAAATCCTATTTTTTTGTCTACTTATTAGGTTGGAGATTGTTAACTATCAAAATTATTTTGATGAATCATGAGAGAGTCATTAAATATTTTCTAATTTTTATAGTATTGAAAGTTGTATGAATTGAGGGTATATTATTTCACATGGCTAATTGCTTCACGTGTCTTCCTATATTCTCAGTATTACATGATAGGGATTTAACTTATGTTTAGTTCCTTGTCTGACCAGGAATTTAACCGAAAAATTATAAGTACACTATACCAAGCTTTTAAGTTACTTTTTATAAGCAGCTGCAACATTTTTGAAGCTGATACACAGCTTCTTTTTGAGTAAAAGTGTTACTCAATTACAAAAATTTTCTAATCAGGCTCATTTATTGCTGGTATGAGAGATGGGCACGGTGTGTTGCGTACTGGGTCTGTGACTGAAGGTTCTGTCTATGTTGGTGCTTGGAAGAAAGATCATCGTTGTGGATTTGGCGTTGAGGACAATATCACAAAGTATAATTTGGAGATTTTAAATGATAAAGCTATGATAACTTGAAGTTTTAGTAATCTAGGACGCTTGGCATAAAAGTTCTCTCTAGAATATATTACGAATGACCTGGGTTCCGTTTTATCGTATCCATAATTTTGCATATGTGTGAAAATTGCAAAATTTCGGAGGAAATATACACCTTATGGCTAGGATTCAAAGGAAATTATAAAAAACACTCTTTTTTTTTTAGTAGCTTTCTCTTTTATTTTTAGTTAACACATATCTTAGTTTGTGTCACCAATATATAGGTCTGAAGTAACCAGATAATTCGGTACTTTCGTAGCATGTGTACCAGGTTAGGCCATGATTTCAGGTACAAATACTACAGGAGTCACTTGGATAATCCCCGAACTCGTAATAGAATTAAAATAAGGAAAATGGAATTAAAATTATGGCTTAACCCTAACCTGGTACACATACTACGTTCCGGTATCCGCCATCTTGGTTCACATACTACGGGAGCACGGATAATTCACACCGAATGTGCTCTTATGTATATGAGATTTTCTGGCAATGCTGCACTAAAAAATTATGTAAAATAGAGATGCATTTTATGATCTTTTTTATTGAAAACCAGCTTAGAACTGTACAGATCTGAAATAATTTTTTTCCTGTTCAGAGGTGAAAAATATCTTGGTATGTGGATGAATGATGAAAGACATGGAATTGGTATTCTGGTAACACTGGACGGACTTTACGGTCAAAGTAAAAATTGTTAATCGGAAATTATTCGTTACTAATATAATAACTGAAAATCTATAGAGTTGCAACCACATATTGTCGTAATATAGTAAAAGTATAACTGATGTATCTACACTACATAACCTACTGAAATAATTAGTTTATTATATTTTTATGGTGCTCATGTCATTTTTGTGCCAGGAATATTGTTGAATATTTTTTAATGCCTATGGCAATATTTGGAAAGAATAAATCCAGTTCTATGAATGATTCTAAATATTCGGGGAAGGTTATTTTAGCGACAATGAATTGAAGTGATTGATCATTTCGTTTTCTGAGGGAACAAATTTGAGTAATGTTTGTTTTTATTAAAATTGAGATGGTATTAAAATATTTAGGTCGTTTTTCGCATGGTGTTATGGCTGGAGATACTCTACTGATTGAAGGTCGTTATACATTCGAAGGTCATCTTACTGCAGGACTAATTTTGAATGGAAAAGGTACTTGAGTTTTTTGTTCTTGAAATTTTGAGTCCTTAGATTTTTTCCTATTCCTCTTTTCTCAAAATCTTTCCATCCTAAGTAGAGATTTATTCTGATTCTTTTATTCTGAATTTCTTTGCGTTTTAGGTCGCCTCACTCTTCCTACTGGAGACAAGTTAGAAGGATCATTTTCTGGTCCATGGGGTGATAATATCAGAGTTTCAGGCAATTTGATTCGTCTTGATTTATCACATAGCAATTCAACCAGGCCAACTAGTCCAGGAACGCCGATTGACATCACGCCAAGTTTTAATAATTTTGCCCATAAAGATCATACGAAGAGTATACTAAGGTCAGTACAATAGTATTTGCATCAGATGCATAAACTCGATGGTGTAGGTAGCCGTCACCGATGTGTGGTTACAGCAATTCTATTAAACGAAGATAGTATCGACGGCCTACGCAACGTGATGAGCATTAGGGACAAGCTTGCAATCGCGCATTACTGATTACCGTGTGAGGGCCTAAGTTCCATGTCAGCCATGTCTGTTACAATACACTTTGTTATACACTTGTGTATAGCAAATATTTTGACAATAAATATGCATAAAATAATGATGATTATGAACAGATGTTATGGCTAAAGGCTCAATTTGTAGGTGTTAAATTGAATATAATACAATAACATTTTACCTTTTTTTATTAGGCGATACAATCGTCATATCATGAGAAAGCATGTGGAAAACAAACATATCAGATCGTTTCCTCTTTCACTCCATCCTGACCTCAAGTGGACAGAGATATTTTCTCAGTGCCGAACTGTCCTCGGTTGTCCAATAAAGGTGCGTGTATCTTGGTATTGATTTAAGCATGTGATTTTTTAACAATAATCTATATTGACTCCTCATACAGGTAGGGTTCTAGAACTTTTGAAGTGACGAGAAAACTTATAGCCCAAGAAAAGTGGCTTTTTTTTAAAGTCTTGTTTTAGTTTTGGTCATTTATGGAGTTAAGTCAAATGACTAATATGGTCACCGCGTTGTCTGCAAAATTAGGGCCGAATGGTATACGAATCATTTATAACTGATTATAACATTTAATTAGAAATTGCACCATAATGTTTGTTGAAGATGTGCCAATGAATTATAAAAACCATCAAAATTTGGGTGAAATATCAGGCCCCGTTGGACTTAAAAAAGTTTATGTTTAAGTGACTTCCATTTTTAAGTGCTGAATATTGGAACTATATTTTCTATTAATTGCAAAAAAAACAAAATTTTTAGCAATCCCAAGATCAACAATTTAACAAAATAATACACCGACATTCTTTGTATCCAATAAACTGAAGTCATGATTTAATGAGTAATTTTCCAGATTGGAAATCAGCATTATATCATAATCATCTGTACCATATATTCATTTCAATTATTTAAAATAAAGTTTATTCGCGAAATGAAATTCTGGAATTTATTGCCCAGTATAACCAAATTATCACATTTCGAGGTTTTCATAAAATCGCATTTTTTAATAGTTTTTTTAATAGTACCACCTAAAATGGGAACTAAGGATAGGTTCTCATCCGATCACCAGTCCACGTCGCGGATGGGATTAGTTAGCCAGTTATTTCTTTTCAGATGCATGAACTTGATGGTCGAGGAACCCGTAGACTACCAGCGGTGACGTGAACCACCCTACGGCGGCAAGGAGTCCAGCAATCCTCTTGCACATAATTTACCCCGCATGGGATTCGAACCTGCGAACACACGCAGGGTAATCAGAAGTGCGTTGGCGAGCGTATTTCCAGCGCTTAGCATTGTGTGTCACACCATTGAAGTACAGCTTTGAAACACTGACCAAAAGATGTCTCCTGGTCTGAGAGATAAGATCAAAAAGTACATTGGTTTTGCTGTAGTGATATGATTATTTAGACATTCTATTCGCAAAACAGTGAATAACTTGTGTAGAAACAGGTTTGAAGTTCTAGGTTCAAGTTTATCGACAGTTTTTCACTAAATAATAAATAAATACTCTTTTATAAGGATGACGAAAAAGTGCCAGAAACAAGAAAAGTATGGGATTCAGTTTCAATAGCTATGGCTAATTCTAAAAGAAAACGAAAGGAATTTAATCAACCACGTCTGTCACCACAAAAGTAAGTTCTTCTGAAATTTTGGAATTATTACTCTGGTTCACAAAAATTCAGTAAAGTTAATTATATTTTGCTGTAATTCAACCTAATCTTCTTGAATTGTTCCTCTTGTTTTGATATTCATAATTAGAAAAGCAGACGAGACAAAATTACATTGGTTGGAAAAGGTTCCTTCTGTCGTCACTGAAGGAAACTCCAATTTGACCAAAGATGATGTAAATTGTATTCGAGAATACCTAGCACAGGTAACGAAGAATTTTGTTGGTCCCTTTATGAAGATTTTATATGATTTTATATTAACTGCAGTACAATTTTAGCTTATTATTTATAGATGTTGAATATTCAATCCAGATTGCTTTAGGATAAGATTTTCATATTTTCCTTGTGTGAGAGGAAATCTGATGAGACGGCTTAATTGTACCATGACCTCTCGTCTTTGTTTGGTATAAGATTAGTTTGCCGGTCGATGGTTGGGGAAGCCTTATCTGACTAGCCACCCTATGGCGGTGAGGAGTCATCAATTCTCTCACAATTATGGTCGCAGGTAGTCTTTTAGTACCGCTCAGCCTGATGACCCATCCGCCAAGTCTTTCTGAAATATTATCACAAACTAAATTATTTTTGCTGCAGTTTTAACGAACAAATTGTCCTTCCTATTCCGATAACGGATAATAATTTTCAAGCTTTTTTGTATTCAGGCATTTAGTACCACATTACATCCATTGGGAGAGTTGGTTGAATCATTGGGGAACGTCTTTCGTGATTCGTACTCTGGCACCGGTGCCCACAAATGGTTGCTCACTCAAGCAGTAGCAGATGTGCGATCATTTGTACGAAGATCATATGATATTCTACAGTAAGAATATTATATTTGCAAATAATTATCAAATTTTCGGGAACCAAATCGGTTTGAAGAAAGAGTCAAATTGTTAATATGGGATTCAATCTGTGCTGAATTCGGTAGCTGAGTCTACTATCGAACTTATGGTGTTATGTTCTGTAGTCCCTATGTCGAATCTCAAGTCTTCAGGTTTATCAAAAACTTAGTAGACCACTAACTATAATTTCCTAGAGATCAGGGTGAGGTTGTGCAAGTCTGTCAAGTTCATCAACTTTAATATGCATATAATTATTCACACTCAGAGAGCAATGCTCAAATATATGGGCACCGAGACCAAAAAAAGTAGTTCACAGTATCTAGTCTGCAATGTGTTAGCGGTATCAAATAATCTTCCAACTTTCGCATAGCACGAGTTCACAAAATAAACACGGTAGACAGTTGCCATGCTTGGCGGATTAGAAACCATGTTTTCATGATGCGAAATAATACAGAGAAATTTTGAATAAAATGTCAGCTCTCATATGAAATTTGGGAATAAATAAAAATTATTAGTTTTCTAGCGTCATCAACAATCTTTAATCCCAGAAAATTTTGAAGTAACCAATTGGTCCAGTAGTAAAGAGAAAAGGGATTTTTTTTCTAACAAGATGAATATTAACAAGAAGTGGAAGAACAACAACAACATAACTAGATAGCGATCAAAGACCACCACCACCTTATCAATCTAGCGGCGTGTATCCTTCGCTCTGACTCAATAGCTACACCTCATGTCTCATCACTAAATAATCAATAACTCGCTAATTATACGACATAATTCATCCAAAATCAATAGGACATCTGGTCCGAGATATCATGAATGCAGATGCAAAATTTGGAGCAGATTCAACCTCGCTTTCGTGAGATATTGCGTAACATACGAAAGTGTCTAACAGACAAATACAGAGATCCTATCAAGATCAATGAGCTATAAGAATACGATCCATAGGTCCACCCCGTGTCCAACAAGATAATATTTTATAATGTTTTCACATTTAATCAAGACAATGTATGAGCTAGTTTTTGTTCACAGAATGAAGGGATGAGAACGTCATAAATAATCAAAGAAATAACCCAAAAGATATATTTCTATAATAAACAATGTTTATTAATAAGTTTAATATTGGATTCTTTTTCTTAGATACATGTTCCCAATGCTTGACAAAGATCATGGAATATCACACATGAAAATTGTTGACATTCACGATGGAGAAAATAATTCCGACGACTTGACAAATAATATTGATTATGTGAGTTTATATTGTTTATCTATTTATTTACATTTAGTTCAGTTAATACCATATTTCCCATTTACCGTGATAACCTAAAAACAAAAACCTTCATACTATTCAAGTAGATCTTGGATAGGGATGGATTAAATCAAATTGTCCTCACTTTTCTTCCAGTTGGAGGTTTCGGATTTATACAGATCTGAACAGCAATATCTGCCAAATTCAATGCCATTAGTCAAATACAATGAAAGATAAAATCATCGAGAAAAGAGTCGAAACGCTTGAGATTGCACATTCTATACTCTCTATGCATCTAAACAAATAACTGGTTAACTATTCCCATACCCGGCATGAACCGGTAACAGAACGAGTGCCATGGCTGATCCTATGATTAAGCTGTTCTATCGACTATTGGAATAAATATGAAAAACCGATCCTATCATATCACAGTTGTCTTCATTCTTGCCCGTAGGTTTAGAGAGATTTCCATGTTATAAAAATTTTCTAGGTAACTGCCGGCGATTTACTATTGCCTGTACTTCTACCCAGAGTATATCCAACTTTATTCACTTTGTACGCACTTAAAAATGAAAACGAGGATAAATCATACTGGGAACGAGTTACTAGATTGAACAGACATCCCGATGTCGCATTATTATCATTTCTTGGAGTTAAACCGTGAGTTGTGTATTATCAATCAATCCAGTTTTTTATTTTTTTTCCAACCAGTAAAAAAAGGGTACTCCTGAAGTCTGAACCCTAACCTTGTACAAAACCTGAGTTCAGGTTGTGCGCCAGGGTATCAAATACAGATTTGTAGATTAATAATTGCACATATTTAACATGGCATTGGTTATCATCACATCCAATTCATTCTCAGGTACATCGACTTATTGTCCAAACAACTCTTTGTATGCACAGCGAATTAGATAGATACTCTGTATTATACAGCTAATATCTTTCTGAAGTGCTCGATTATGAGGTTGTCAATTTACAATTTCGAAATAACAAGTTCATTTTTAAAAGGTCTGCTATCCAAATTTTCCTTGAGATTTTCCTACTAGCTCATCATTATGTTTCTATAACTATTATGCAAAGTATTAGCTGGTTGCAAGACACTAATTTCATGATGCATCATTTATCCCAATTGTAGCTCAAAGTGAAACTTGATAAAATGTTTATTATCTAATACTTCCTGAATATAAGGAGTTACTGACAGTGCAGTAGCAGGTCTGTTTCATGAACTAGGGTTGTGCATTTAAAATGATCTGAAAATCTCGTTTTTGCAGGAAATTTTGGCTTCTCGATGAGAAGGAAATTCCTCCTCTGGAATTGTCCCCCGAAGATGGTCAGCTATATGATACAGTTGGTAGGTATAACCGTATAAGCACCTTCGAACCACTCTTGACCCCCTAACTGTTAATGAAACCCTTTTACTTTTTACAGAGCAGGCAGAATCAAGTAAATGGAGGCATTTGTTAGTTGCACAAGCGCAAGATTGTAGTTTTTTGAGTGCAGTTGAAACATTACAACTTATCAGTACGACTTTTATACCTGCTGAAAAATTGAATGTCATTTACAGCACTTTCAAGGTATGTAGATATTCATCTTATTCAAAACAATATTTTACTTCATGATTGACATTAAGCTCAGTTAAGGTTTAATTTAATAAATTCTGCACAATGTAATGCAACTACATATATATGTGCAATTTGAAGTGTGAATACGCAGGGTGTAGCACAGGGCACCAACCTTAGACCAATAATTTTCTAGTTTTATTTGAATTTGATACTATTTTACTAATTCCAGGTGTAAAACGACTTTATCGAATATGTTTTGCAGGCAATCAACGCGACCGTGCTCACTCATCACAAGCAAACCCATACTTGGTCAATGGATGATTTGTTTCCAGTGTTTCAATACGTCGTTATTCGTTCGAGGTTGATAGAAATTTTGAAATTTTAACTTTTTCATGATAATTATGCGGACTAACATACTTTACTATTTTTAAGAATAAGCCACCTGGGTTGTGAAATTCAGCTGATTGAAGATTTCTTAGAGCCTGATATGTGCAAAGGAGAGAAAGGAATAATGTTTACGACTTTAAAAGCTTGCTACTTTCAAATCCGAGTCGAAAAAGATTTGTAACAGTAATATTATGTTCTCTGTATCACTTTATTTCTTTAGAATTCATTTTTTCGTAGCACTTATAAAGTTAACCTTAGAAAGTTTAAATAGAAACCATACTTTGTAGGATAAATCTTTGTAATTGCGAAACATTAAATTCTTTGTGATCCGTTGGATAAGTGATGGATGATAGGTGTATCCGAATACACTCTGAATTCGCTATATTTGATCCAGTTAATTTTTGATTTTGAGAATAATTTAGAATGTTTTCATTTTGAAATTTGTCATTTTGAGACTTTGGTATAGGATCGTCAGATAAAAAAGAAACTTAGTTTCACTTCTAGCTCTTAAAAAAGTATAAAATCAATCAAAACAATCTTTATCTAACGAGCCATTGTGCATTACCGTATTTCATTACTTTGAATCAACAAGGTTTTCGTAAATTTATTCGCTGAACATTACTTATTATTTTAGAATAGATATTTCAAATTCAGTTACTTCCCAGTCGCTCTACATGCATTGGCGATTACTGTAGTGGTTAACAAATAAGGCTATAGATTGGTAATTGTACAATAGGCTTTAACCTCTTTGGTTCTATCCCCTTAAAACTTAGAAATATCAATTCAGATCAGTTATCTGGAATTCCCATTTCTTTTAAACTAGTTTTCTTACACTGTAGTACTATCTTGGGTTACTGAGAAATTCATTTTGTTTCATAAATTGGTTCTCACTGCTTATTTCTATGTATTTGTACAGAAATAATTATTTTCCAGTACAGAACTATGCAATCGTGCCATGTTTTTATAATAAGTTGTGTATGGCTGCATCTTGGAAAAGTTTTTTTTATCTTGGGAATTGGTAGAAAACATATTACCCAATAAAGTTTGTTCCAATTTTCACATACCCCGAGTGTTATACTCAGATTGCATCTTGGCAAAATTGAAGGGACATTGTGTGAATCTTCGGTAACAAAAGGATATATATATACTTGAGAAAATAATTGTCGGCAAAGTTTTGAAACGGCTGGTATATGTAAAAGTGATGTCCTTTTTTTGGTGACACCTGCATGGTCAACTACTGAAAATTCTTAAGTCATTTTATTCGTTGCTAGAAAGCTTATCTATTCCCAGCGTAATTACAAATTGACAACAACTGATCTTTCCACGAAAATCGTTGGATTCCGTAACAGTGACTAATCGGTAAGAAATCAATTGCAGGGTAACAATTGAAATTTAGGCAATTGACAATTTAACCACTGATGTGTTGCAACGCTATTCAGGGTGCGTCGCGAAGTATTTCCAAATGTTACAAACATCGACTTGATCGGAAAATTGTGGCATTATCATTCTACGTAACGATTCAATATTATGCGCCGTATGCCGTTAATAATTTCAGTACGCCCTTGCATGTTGGAAACTGCAGGTAGGCTACTAGGCAGATTAGTAATTTGTGTTGGCAGTAGCAAAGACGCCGGTTTATGTAATTGGTAATTTTAAGTCTTATGATTAGGGCTGGGAATTTCAGGGAAAACACTTTAACCGGTTAACTGCCCCGTGACGTGACGTTTGACGTAATTTTTATAATTTCAGCTTGTTACGTCACAATGGTTATAAAGTAATTTTGCGTGTTCTTATCCCGGTATCGCTCAAAATTATTCACGAATCGAGATCGTTTCATGATTCCTCTGCTGCAAAAGATAGGCAGCGTGGTTCGGGCATGTAGAAATATTTTAGAAAACCCGATTCCGTTGTTAAACGTCATTTATGTGACAAATTTTTAGTGTTCGATGTGCAAATTCTACTTCGAGATATATATCATAAAGAAAAACGGCATCAACTGCACACTTATTGTATGACATTGAATATCCGATTTTGCAATGAAATCGTGAACAATATATTTCGAAATCGACCGAAAACTGATTCCGAATTTATTATTGTAAATTTTCATTATCAGCAACCTTGGTACTTTCATTATTCTTCACATTTATTGATTCCTTACCCACACAGTTAGTAATATTTTTTTGAATTAAACGCCGCAAGAGATAAATTTGCGATGACGTAATCATATTTGACGATATTGTACGGTATGAAGATGATTTGTACCTGAGATGTCAGTTAACGATAAAAATAGATCATAACCGTTAACCATCTGGAATCGGTTGACCGGTTAACCATTCCCAGCCTTACTAATGAGCCGTATTCCAAATACTGACTAAACAGGGTTAATATACTTTATTTTAAGATCCTAACTTCCTTTGATTCTTGAAAGCCAAAAATGGATAATTTTAAGAAAAGGTAACGAAGTTAAAGCCAAAAAGGGAGGCTCAAAATTGTAGTGAGAAATATGACTTTGATCTAGTTTCATTAAGGCAGGAAATGGCTTTGAGCCAGAACAAGCCTCGACTTGATCTGATAATATTATATGCATGCTCAAGTTTTGCATTAATAGTAAATTGCATGGGGATGCATTGTTTCTTTTCTCATATTTAGCATCTCATTGTGTGTCGCGCAAAAATGAATGTCAGTAAAAGTGGTTCGCGAACTGAAAAAGATTGGAACAACTACAGTAGAACATGCATATAAAATTAGCTATCGGTACCTTTTGATGGGAACTGTTTTAATTTTTTGGACTAAATGATTATTTTGAATAAGTGGACCAATGGAATACGTGACAGCGCAAAGTCAAACTTAATGTTTACTGAGGAATCGTCAGAATTAAAGTAACGACTTAATGTTTGCAGATGTTGGAAGCTGTTAAGAGAATCTAAAAATCACACATTTGTTGTGAGATGCTTTGTTATATTTTATGTTATCTACAGTCCACAAAAATTACAGTATAACCCAGGGTTTCCCAAACTGTGGTGCGGGGGTCCGTGACAACTGCAGAGGGGGTCCACAACGATATGTAAAGTCTGTTCGGTATTTAATGATTGATTTCAATTAAAGGTAAATTGCATATTTTTGCTTGAGCTTCGCGAACGAATATCCATTGCTGTCAGAAAAGTCAAATGAAAATTCTTTTGCAACGACCAACATTTGTGATGCAGCATTTTCACTCTTATAATTATGATGACAAAATACAGGTAGAGACTTGCAGCCCGGTCTATAGGTTTGCTTGTCACAAATTGCTCCGAGAATCGAAAAATTGTGCAGTGAGAAGCAAGCTAATTCATCACATTAATGTCATCTGTGTTGTGGATTGAAACATTATCTTTACTTGTTGGTAAGGCACTGGAATTGATAGGCAAAGCGTGGGGGTCCGTCAAAATTAGGATTCTCAAATAGGGGTCCGCGGCCCAGAAAGTTTGGGAAACTCTGGACTATAACCCATTCTCTTTATTTCACATTGTCTGGTTCAGGTTCAGGGTTCAAATCACAAACTATTACTTCTGCCCTCAGTGAAATATGATTTTTCCATGATAATGGAATCAAACGAAGGTATCTGGCAGCGAATCTAGGATAAAAATTGTTGGTCACTCTTCCGTCGGCGTCCGTGTTTCCTTCGAATGTCTGAAACCAATACATATAGTGTAGAAACACCCAGTGATATGAAATCAACGCTTTATCTGCCAAAAATCTTTTTTTGGGTTCTATAATATATATCTATAAAACGACGACAAGCGAGCAACATTAATTTTTTCTGAAGTTGATGTTACGGTAGGGGACGTAAGAAATACGCCCAAATTTTAGTGAGATATGTAATAATAGTCCCACCGTTTCCTAACTTTGAGGTCGTAGAGATAGTATTAAATGAGCAGGTTACAATTGAATGAATTGAAACTTTACCTTAGGTAATCCAGTCTCATTCAATGCATATAGCCACTCGAAACGATCAGAAATTTTGTTCTGAATGTTAAACGACTTAATGTACTGTTCTTCTCTTAATCTTTTAGATCCCTGGGTTACTATTCCTCTTACTTCGTAAATTTCTCCCAGATCGACCTGTATTTATGTGAAAAAATCAACGTTAGAAAAAAATTAGATCTAAACCTAAATAAATCAATTGATATTTTTTGTAAAAAGGTGACTGTGAACTGACTGAACAATTTAGAAAAATTGAACTTTCGATAAATAAAGGGTACTCTCGAAGTATGTGAACCAAGATGGCGGACACCGGAACGTAGTATGTGTACTCCAGGTTGGGGTTAGGCCATAATTTTTTTCCAATTTTCCTTATTTTAGTTCAGGTACTAGCCAAGCGACTCCTGTAGTATTTGTACATGAAATTATGGCCCCAAATCCAACCTGGTACACATAGTACGTTCCGGTGTCCACCATCTTGGTTCTCATACTTCGCGAGTACCAAATAAATTACTATTCTTTGTCGCACCTGCCACCATTGTGCTTTATCATCAACTGCTGGTCTCCATGCATTAACCAATGATCCCTTATCAAGACGGGCTTTGTAAGAATGCCAGTCGCCCATCCACGTAAGAAAAACTCCTGAAGATCTGAAATTTCTGTCCGCAAATGTGTGTGAGCGCAGTCCCAGTGGTCGTTCACACTTGGTTGACTCTAAATTTAATTATGGAATTTCATTTTAAAATCGAAGCAATATATGACAGATTTCATAAGAATTTGCAATAAGATTGATCCTTGTACCCAAACCTTACGGACGACAATCTCAGGGTGGTGACAAATACGTGTTTAACCTACTTGCTTAAATGGTTAATACTTTATTTTCCGTTAAGGACACATGCGATAATCAGGTACTTTACAGGTAAAGTTCTAACTAACAATATAGTAGCAAAAATACCGAATTTGAAAGAAAAACTGTGCGTCCAATGGTCAGCGTGAGTTGATTTAATGCCATTATGTACAGTTGATGAATAATATCTGCGTCCAGGAAGGCGGCGAACCTGTTAAATGACAACATAATGATAATATATTTCATCTCGCATTCGTTTTCTAAGAATTATAGTTGATTTTATTTTTCATTGATATTTGTTGAGTGAATTATGTTTCAAAGTCACAGACCTGACCGGATTTAAATGATTAGATGCGGCTACGCCGTTTGTGAGAATCCTCTTAAACCTTTGAGGCCCTAACTAATATATTATGGCGTCATAATACGACTTCACAGACTATAATGAACGACTTTTAGCGTCAAAATTCATCAATAATTTGTTAATTTGATTGAGCGGGGAATATATATATATATTGGAACTTGCTTTTCAGATAAAGTAGATATCGGTTCTGAAATTCATCTAGTGGAGGCAGTCACTAAATGAGAAGTTGGCATTTTTCTGATCCGAGTCCAAGAGCCATGCATTTGATAAACTGATACTCAACAGTCAACACAATCTCGACCGGGAAATTCATTCGAAATTAGATTTTAACAGCAAAGGCAGTCACCTGCACTGATCCTCCATCATTATTGATTACTCCCGCGTGTATAGCTGCCTTGCATATGCTTGAGTCATCAGTGTATACAATTGATCCCTTAACTGGCACAGAACTTGTTAGGCAGCCCTTGACACATGTTGCATTGAGAAGTCTAGAACACCAAAATTTATAAATCGGCATTTGTAGTATCAATTCGAAGTCTTAATTTCATGGTCGTTGGTAAACTCGGTCAAGACTTAAAATGTTATTACTGCATGTCTTTATCAATTTGGAATATCACTTTCACACAAGTTTTTGAATTATAAATGTATATGTATATGATTCGCACAGAAGTGAATCGAGATGATTTAAAATAATTTAATTCGTTTGTCCCGCCATTCCAAAAAGCTTATAATAGCATAATATAAGATTTGAAAATATCTGAACCTGCTTAAAGGTAAAATATGATGCCGGCAATATTTAAACATATCATACCCATTGTGGAATTCCGTAAACCGTCGTGCCTCGTCCGAACACCTCAATGTCCTGATATCCGCAATTATTACTGAAAAAAATTCGCAAATATGATGATAATGCTGTCCTTACCACCAGAACAGCCGGAAAACGACAACGAGAAATGTGTGTATATATTCATATTTATGCGCCGATGGCACAAAAAAAACGCTTACTTACGAGCACAAATAATGAAATATAAAAAAGTCTTCTGTGGAATAGGCTATAGCATACTTTTATTCATTCAATTTTGTAGTCCTTTGCGACTAAATATTTTACCCAATAGTTTGATAGCTATTTTTGAGCATAATGCGCACCACGTGACATTTACTCAGCTGAATGCTTACCGATACACATATAAATTTTCAACGCGATAGTCCTGGATTTGCAATTTTGATTAGTCATAAAAACTAAATGCCCACGTGTTTGAGCATTGTTCTGTTTAGATAAATTTTCGACCAACAATCAAGTTTTCTAGTTTTTTTCGTTCGATTTACCAAGAAAATGTGTATAAAAATGATTAAATAAATGTATTGTTAAAGGCTTTATGTATAGCTAGGCCTAGGAATATATATTCAGATTGTTTTCAGCAAAATAGCTGTTTTAGAAATAATCCAATTGCTGAAGAACGTTGAAATTGACTACACATTTGTTGTTTTATTTGTTTGGGGATAAATTGGCTACATTCAAATACTTCAAGTAGTCATATTGTTGATTCTATATCTTAACAAAAAATTGAAGTAGGCTAACAAGTGATCGACCTGAATTTCGTTCAGCATTTCAATTTTTATCTCTATTCACATCTAATAATACTACATTTTTTTACAATTTAAACAATATACGGTATATATTTTTTTTTGTTAATTGCCAAAATCATTTGCCTAACATTCGGATTTGCATAGTCGGAGTAATGCTTATTTTGAAATAAACAACTTATTACTCTCTCTAAATCTAAACTATCTAGTTAGTCTGCCTCGTGGCGATTCAACACCTGACTGAAGTAACTGCATTTTTTGCATTACATGAGTAACTTTTAATTTCACTCTGGAACTTCATCAATATGACTAGTAGCTTTTTTAAAAAAATAAGAGAATAAATGATTACCAGAAAATAAACAGGTAGAAACAAAAGTCAATAACATCTTCTCCCGTAGAATCCAAGCCAATTTCATAGTCGATCTTGTTTCAAAAACCTTGAATCAACTAAATGCTATCTAGAAATGCCAAAAGCTCGAAATGCGCGGCCTATCACAGCATTATCGGTTATGCACTTCAGGAAACAATCGGAGAGATTTTTTTCGTCAAACAATCAAACATTTTGGCTTGCAGCTACGTTTATTTTTCAAGCATCGAATTTTGATATCGGACAATTTCCGACCAAAATGGCATGACCAGAAAAAACAGGTACGTTCCTAGAAACGTCCTGTCTCTAGCGTGGGAACCGCTTGAAAGAACCTTTACAGCATAATCGCCATAACAAGCAACAAGCTTTGCAATATGGAGAAGATTTGAAAAAGCATTAAAAAAAACTATAAAACCGATTGGCCGTATGCAATATTTGTCATTGATGGATTTGACAAAATTAGACATATTTACTATGAACAGGGCTGTGTAGTCAGGAAAAATTTACACTCGACTCCAAACACGGAGCCTTTCAAAAAGCCAGTCTGGGTCAACAAGGCGTCAGGAAGCGCTTGGCACGGCACCTCTGATTACCCTGCGTGGGTTCATAGGTTCGAATTCCGCTATGTGTGAGAGGATGTCATATGATTGAGCCGTCTTATCGGCTTTCCTCTGTTCCGGGATTATTATGTAAATCATATATATATCGACATTGAAATTCTGAAAGTTCGACACGGACTCCGGAGTAAATAATATATCGGTACTGAATCCGACTCTCGGATGTTTGAAAGTATGAATCTTATTCATAACGTCGATAAAACACGTCGAACTTGGATTCCGCAGCCCTTTTTAGTGGTGCTTTGCGTACTTTTAATTCTTGAGTACCGGTAATAAAGTTATATAGATTCGAAAGTTTAACTTCTGAGAGAAAACTTAAGCATACTTTTGTAATGAATTCTTCTTTCTTAGTCTTCATTTTTATTTTTTTTGTAGCTTATAGCAGACCAAGACATAAGATTCACATAAAGGAAACGTACGGTACACAAGCGGTTGGGGAATGATAAACAGATGTGACGACCCGTATTCGTAAATGTAGAACACCATTATTTGATCTACTTTTAAATTTTGTATTGTATTGTTGGGGACACTGATGGCGATGTAGTACTGTCAATTCAGAGACAATGCATAGCATGTCATGTAACATTTATGGTCAATCTGTAACCTGGCGTCCAGTTTGAATAAGCTACCGGTACTAGGGATGGGACGAGTCCGGCATTACATATTTTCGACGAATCCGAGTAATAGTAGGGTGACCATACGTCCTCCTTTTGGAGGATTTGTCCTCCTTTTTCGTTAAAAAATTTGCGTCCTCCAAGGACGCTCTAAAATGTCAACATGTCCTCCTTTTTTCACGGGATTAAATATTTAAAATTCTCTTACATTATCAAAAGTTTTTGATATGTCAAGAAAATTCCAAATTCAGTAGAGACTTGTAATTATCATTATACACATGACAAGCAATGCATTGCGATAGCATGTAGCAATTGGGTTTTGCAGTTAGGTTTTACGCCATTTCACCTTGTATTTCGCAATTTATGAAAATTTGAATTTGGACAGAAAATTACGCCAATATACCCAGTTTTACGATATTGAAAAAAATAACCCTGCAATGTTGACGACGATTAAAGGAACTGCCAAATACTCATGGTCTAAGAGCAAATCAATCGATTGTCCTGCATATTTTTTAGTACAACAAAAATGCGTTATTTCATTGTCGTCACTTCGTCTATTGTCACTTCTATATTTAATTCTAGGGAATTTAGTAGATATATTATAATTTATATCTCATACACAGATGAAATGTGGTTCTACCAAACAATGTGTCCTCCTTTTAGGGTTTAGAAATATGTTCACCCTAAGTAATAGGTCAAGGACTCGAATCGAATCTGCCGAGTCCGTGACGTCATAATGGAAAAGCAGAAAAACGTGTTTTTGACCATGCTACAGCATGGTGCGCTCACAATTTTACTATGTCATGTGCGCATATATATGGTAGAGAAATGCCACTCGTCGTCAATACAATGTGGTACATCTGCTTGCAATTTAGTAGTTCATGTAAACGTTTTAAAACTCTCCATGCTTTCCATTGCCTTTTTAGCGACTGGATTGCACGCAATAAACTCCATTTTTAAAGAGGTATTTATGAGATTCCACATTTGGTTGATCCAGAGCATGTTTCATTTTTACGCGAATTAAAAATATTGCAATAACAAATATTTTATTGTGTACCACGCATGTACACGCATGATAGATAGTTTGAAAGCGACTGGCGCAACATCATTCAATTTAATTCCTTTATTACTCCAGACCGCTGTGGTCCATATAAAAACAACACAACAAATAAACATGAGCAAAACAAAAATAACACAATAAATACATAAAATAGCTGATATGACAATCAGATTCACAGTAAGTCTCAAAAAGAGTTAAGAGTTCATTGCTATAAATCAGGGGTCTCAAACCCGCGGGCCAATTGCGGCCCGCAGGACGATAGTTTGCGGCCCCCACCTTGGTATAAAAGTTTAATGTTAGTGCGGCCCCTAGCCTAAGTCACTCAGCTCAGTTAGAATGATTGATGCATTTAATATATGATCAGGACAAGTAGAGCAAAACAAAATATTTTATAATCTATCCCCCGAAAGGCATATGCGGAACGGTAACCTACTAGTACCGTACCTGTAGGCATGATATTCGATGGACCTTTGATCACGAAGAAAATTTTCTTATACTTTACCATTACAAACTCTTGGTGCTTATTGTAGAGGTGGCTTCGCAAGTCTATAAACTTGTCTATATGAAGCATATAAACTGGGGTCTATGTTTCACGTCTTCGTTTTGATTCAAAACATTCAACAACCTGATTTTCAACAGTACCGGTAGAGAAGTTTAGCCTAGTCTATCACAGCTATTTCTAGACTAATTTTTGATTACTGCAATTGAGCTAGATAGATAGTTTATTTCGAAAACTCCATAACAAACCTAAATTTAAAATGGAGAATTCTGGAGGGCAAGCAAAACCTACAAAAAAGTTTAAAACATGAAGTATCTCATGTGCCTGCCCACCAGCACGCACACAAAAACACAAGCCCAACTAAATGAGGCTTGGGCCAAACCTAAAAAACAAAATACACGATAGTAATAAACTTTCGGGCTGTTGTACTCTCTTTCAACAATTACGTTGATAATGGCCAATACCTACAACCTCATGCAAAGATAATGTGGGGAGTGGAATGTAATAAATTTGCGACGATAGTCATACTCATGAAGCCATGAAAGCTTTAAGAAAAACCAAGCCATGAAAAACTACACTGATTGCTAGATTGGGCATTGCGGAAAAGGTGATAAGTGGTTTAATATACAAACAAACGCAAAACCATGGCGGCAAATTCGGTGTGCGGACACTCGTAAAAGCAAATATTAGGAAAAACACTAATCACACGTGAGCAGGTCTGTAGCCACAATTGATACATTGACGTGGCCAACATTGTTAAAACAGTACCGGTATACACACAGAGAGAACAAATCAAAAATATGCCACTAAATGAATGTTTAAAAATGTTACACTGTAAGTTACACTGCGAACTATTTACACATATATAGTTGAATACTCAGTATTCAAGCGGAATTTCTAGAAATAGCAGTATATCATACTCTTTGTCACAAAATAAAATATCTGAATCAATCCCTGTTGTATTCATCTTTCGATTCTGTTATGATGTCCGTATGTTGCGTTTATGCTGCCATGTAATTTCATATTTCGGCCTTTACTTGTTGATATTCCTTAAGTGCTGGTTCATTGTTGTCAATCTAATCTTTCTGCGCCGTTCAAAAATGCGACCGCAGCCGACGACTGCCAAACACAAACTTTAAATCCAATCTTTTATCCATAAACTTCTTTAATTCCGGTGGATGGGCCCTGATCATGTTGATATCACGAGATACAAATCTAATAGTAAATACCGAAACACACAGCGCGTAGCATTCTCAGTCCAACAGCATTGATTGATCTTTCATCTAACAGAGAAACAAAAACACGTCCGACCCAGACGGCAGTCTGGCAGAAGTGTCGCCCAAGCAATCAGTATGAACATTGAGTTCTTTGATTCATACTTGAATTTCTGAAACACAACCCAAAACTGACAAATAGCATGCAAAAACGAGGTAATGTTTACAAACATGCCTAAAAATCTTTCTGAGTGACGTGACAAGTGTCTGAGCGTTTCCGAAAAGGTTTATTGTTACGTCACTTTTTGCATCATGCTGATTAGCCAATGTTATGGAATAAACAAGGAAGTAGATGCTCGGGGAAAGGTCCATCGAGGAATTACTTACATTTACGTTTCTGACATGTTTTGCGTATAGAAAAATAGAGAAAAAGGATTTAACTTTTTAAGTTTAATGCTTTTATTGTGAAAAACCTGATGCCGCCCGGACTCACTAAGGCTCTGTCTCGGCGGCCCCCAGTTAAATTGAGTTTGAGACCCCTGCTATAAACGATCAATAGTGTTTAACTTGCGTTATATTATCTGGATATCTGTCGTGGTTTTATTTAGGAGTGTTTATAATGCACACGAGGGATATTGCTACAGATCTAACCTTGGATTTTAACTACCGGTAGTTGTAGTCCAACCTTGAATTTTAACTAGTTGAAGGTATGTAGTGGGATTTATAGAGGCAAAAGTACAAACATAGGCGTAAATTAGTAAAAAACAGAATTGATTATGGACTCGTGTAAAAATGACGTAGACTCGAATCGAATCGAGTTCAAAAATGCCTGGATTCGATTCGAATCCCGGCCCATCCCTAACCGGTACCATCCGCAGCATCGACACCTTTATATTGGTTGAAAATGAGCATTGTCTCCGCTATTGTTTACGCTGCAGATAGTGAACGTCAACAGTGATCTTCTGTTCCGACGTTTTGGAGTTGTCGAATGGCACGTTTTAGGCCGTGAGTACGGTAGTCCGATATTTGAAATTAATATATTTCTTGCAACTTATCTCAATGAAACTACCTCGGGGTGCTCCAAACCAGGCCCGTGGGCCATATGTGGCCCGCCGCTTCATTATCTGTGGCCCGCGGCGCATTCAGAAGGAATCAAAAAAATATCATGACATATTGTTGCATCACTAATGTCACTGAATTGACTAGTGTTATCTTGCTGAGGCAACTAGCTAAGTCAAACGAGCGAAGTTCCTGGCCCTATTGTGGCCCGCGAACAATGCAAAAGTAACTTTGAGGCCCGCGGAGCTGCCAGTTTTGGACCACCTAGCTAGTTACTAGCTAATGTAAGTTCCCAAAAATTGCCCACATCATAGGAATCGCTTGATCGTTGAAGGTTGTATTTATTTATATTTTCCGTGTCCAAGCGCTAGTGAATGACTAGCCTTTGAATTTTGAAAAAGGTACTCCCATAGCATGTGTACCAAGTTAGGGTTCGGCCATAATTTTATTCCTATTTTAGTTCTACTACGAGTTCGGGGACTTGGCTACATAATCCCTACCCATGGATGGGCAATATAGAATACCGAATCCGGAGGATTCGAATCCCAAAGTTTCCGCCTCTCCGGCGCCAAGCGTCAATTTTTGTATTTCGAGTTTCTAATTTATCAATTAAAGACGAGCGTTTTTTCTCGCGTCGAAATCTCACGAGCGTTTTTTCTCGCGTGGAAATCTCTCTCGCTTAACATAACTTGCGTCTGCTCGTAAAATCGGTAAACATAAAACACTGTAATCTCAATCTGCATATTCAGAACAAGAAGTCGGCGAAGTACACCTCACGACGAAGACTCGTTATTGCACCGTTTTTGCGTTCTACTGATTTGCTATATAGCTAACGTATAATAATAATAATTATTTGTGCCGACTTACTAGCGATATTCCGATTATCTGATTGCAACAATCTTCAATTGATTACAGAAGTGCCTTGCTTCATTTTACATCAAGATATCTCGAGACCTGTGAGTTTTACCAAAAAAAGATGCATGTAAACCAAAAGCCAGGCGTTAAATGTTATAGCATTGCTTGCGATTGATTTAGATCAAATATTATTTACGAATAATTTATTACACCATTTTCAGAAATACAAAGTTATATCGCAATACGCGAAAATCTGTTACATTCAAACTCCACTCTCAAAACATTACATTTGTTTCGGTCCGTTTCTATCGTTCAAGATAGACGCACGTTTTGATCGAGTGTCTGCAGTAATTTTGTCGCTGGTAAATTTAAAAAAAAGTTGCCGCATCTGGCGAAGATAGTGACGTATTGAGTTTAATTAGGGCCAAGTCTGTGTAGATAATGATATGTAACGATAATCATAGAAAATGAATTTAGTCTTTAGATGTATACCTAATAACTAAGTACACCGTTTTTCCGAAATACAACTGTTATTGCAATACGTGAAAATCTGTCACATTTGAATTTCACTCTCAAAAGATTACCTATTTTTCGGTCCTTCCCTATCGTTCAAGATAGACGCACGTCTGATCAAGTGTCTGTAGTATTTTAGTCGCCGATAAATTTAAAAAAAGTTGCCGCATCTGGCGAAGATAGTGACGTATTGAGTTTATGCACGGCCAAGTCTGGGTAGATAAAGTATGTAATGATAATCATAGAAAAGGAATTTAGTCTTTAAATGTTATTACCTAATAACCAGTACGAAATCGCTCCTTTACGCGAACTTGGTTTTACGAGTCTTGCTCGCACAGAATAAAAAGTTGATTTTAATTGATAGTGGTTAAATTTAATATTTTACAACGGCCGCATAGGTTGCAGTGGCCACACGCTGGTCCTGCATCTAATTCTCAGGGGGTATGTTTTAGTTAGACATCGTTACACTCGGCAGACTAACATTAAAAATGATTTAACGCCGTTTTCATATATGTTTTGTATTTAACCGCTTACTATTATAGTGTGTAAAGCGTGTCTTTAATTTACCATTTCAAGTATTTAGGGATTACATACATTTGGAAACAAATTGAAGCAAAAAATAAATAATAATCCTATAATAAGTTTTATTGTCATGGGAAATGCCTGTTTAGTATCAAATGAAATCCAATGCTCAGGACATTTCCAAATAAATAATACATTTGTAGTTATACATTTTAAAACTTTTTTAACATCTAAATCAGAGATGACGAACCTGCGGCCCGCCAAGGACTTTCGTGCGGCCCACGAAGCATTCAGACAATTCAGTGTATGTTTGGCGTAAAGTAACAAACCTCCAAGAACTGTACAGAGAGAACGAAGTGCAAGTGTTACCGTATTCATATTACTGGCAACAACACTATTTCCAACACATCTATTTTTTTGGATCATCGATACCTCTAACAATGGATCAAAATGACCATTGTCGTAGCATTGGTTACGCTCTCGTATCGGCAAACGCATTACGGTTTAATTAATAGAGAAGAGTAATCTCACTCTTATGGAAATGTGATATTTTTGTGCACGATACACGTGATATTTGAAAGTAATAAAAAGTTTTTAACTTCTGCTCAATGATTAAAACAATCGTAGATCTCAAAAAAATGCCTACGTTTTAAAAATCAGTTAATTGTAATTAGAGGGATTCGTTTACAATTTTTGTATCCGGTGGCCTGCGAAATACGGATCTTTTTTACAAAGCCTCCATCACTAATGCAAACATGTGAAATTAAAAAAAAGAACACTACGTTCTGAAATAACAAGTTAGTAACTATCCAGTTGCGGTTCGGTTAGGAAAGATTTGAGGTTTTGAAATTCCGACGCAGTCTGGATTCTTAGCCCCCACCCACGCTAAAAATGTAATTGAATTATTTATAATTTACATTCAATTTTGAGCGGAGGCGGTGATTTTTTATAAGGAATCTTTGTACAAAGGATCCCGAAATACTTTTCTGAGGCATTATCAACTGGAATTTTAACATAGCATTTTAGCATATTAACGCGACACAAAATGTCATGAATAAAGATTCTATAATGCGTAGGTTGGTATTATCATTGGGGGGAAGGGTAAATCGTAACGAATCCTTAAATGTTTATGCAACTGTCGACGCAATTAGGCAGGTCACTCGTAGAAAGAGCCCACTTTTTCGACGAATGATGTTTTTAACCGTTATGTTATGTTGTCGTTTAGCGATTTTGCAGTTGTGCAAAGTATTTCATTGGCGACCAGTAGGAGTATATTTTTTATTTATTGCTTTCTAACTTTAATTCTGTGTTTAATGTAACATGCGGCTGCGTCTACAAATTAAGAACATTACTATAATGAAATATCACATCAATCCACGGCCATAAAAAGTGTTTCCAACTGCCAGATTATATTTAGTTTTGATTCATATTTTTGCGATGTTACGAATTAGTTATACAAATATGTTCTTGGATCACTGACTGTCTCTATCACTAAAATATTTATATCAACGTCCGAGAAATCCCTAGATCTGCTATAAAATATCGAAGACTACAATTTATTCCAATCAGTACATTAAAAATTGATTTTGCATTAACACGCAGGTAGTAGACTCAAACTTTAGTGTTAAAAATGCTGTGGTATTCGAATAGAAATTCGGATCTCGAACATCCGAGCCGAGCGTTTATATTGCATTACATAATTGAATAACATCAGCTGTATGGATGCCTTTTTTCGTTTTGTAGATGAAAATCAACAGGTATCCTACGGTAGTACGACTAAAAATTGTGCGGCCCGCTCACTCACGGTGACTGATAAAGTGGCCCTCGACAGCAAATGGGTTCGTCACCCCTGATCTAAATCCAGCATTGTGGAAATTCCCACTTTTTGAATAAGTATGAAAATGGAATAGGATTCGGTATTCTGGATTCGATTTAACTATTCTAGAATAGTAAATTATTCTACATTGCCCATCCCTACCCATGGGCTTCAGCCCCATAGCACATTGATTTAAAGTGGAAGAACAAAATTAGTTGCACTTACTTCTGGAGCGCCCAAATTTTATCGCATGTTCACTGCGATACTCATGAAACTTGACGAGAAGTTTATATTTACTTGGAACAAATATCGCAAAGGTTTCTTATTATACCGTATTTGTTAATTTTATTGTGGTCTTGTTTTGATTTCATTTGGAGTATTTAGTTTTGTTAAGATTGATAAGTTAGTTAATGAATAGAAATAGCATTAATTGAGGTGAATATTGAGAAGATCTCAAAGCGAGATCTCTTCTACTAGTCTGCAGAGACCTCGTTCAAGCCAACTCCCGGTTATGAACAAGAACCATCAGGTCTGTTAACCTACTGAGCATTTATTGGGGCAATGGGAGAACATCCAGAGATAACTGATACCCAAGTCATCCAAACAAAGCAGGCTTGGTAGAATTTAAAGGCAAAAAGTTAATTTCTGCTCTGACAAAAAAAACTCTATCCAGGATGACAACAAACCTGCCATGCAACCCCACACCTAAAGAACCTTGAACTTGACCTTAAACTAAACCACAATCAAAAGATTTGCACGCTGCAGTTTTGTTTGGAACCGAAATTGAACAAGTCACAATATTTGAAAAAAATATCAGAAACATAACCTAATAACATCATCCAAGTGTATATGACAGCAAGAAATCTGTAGCAAGATGCAGCAATACGATTCATGGGTTACTATTCCCATTCCACCAAACCCCTTAAAATTTTTTCGAGTCGCAACAACTCCAGCCATCTAGCGTTTCGCAACTCCAAACAGTTTTCACCAATTCTTTCGTGCCTTCCTTTTCAGAATCAAGTTTTTCCCAGTCAAAAGATTCATAATCTGTCTGCCAATCTATATTACGTTTGAAAACCAAGTCTTGGCCCTGAAAACGAATACATAATACATTTGCATATCCGACAACCACCTACAATCTACAGCAGAGGTCGGGAACTCATGGCTCGCAAGCCATATATGACTCTTTTGATGACAGCGTAAGGCTCCCAGAAAAATCTAGTATTCTAAGGCTAAGCACACTATTGTTACGAGATTTCAAACTCTTTTATAACCAAATTCGTCTGTTAGCTAAGAGAATCACCAGACAGGCATTTTGACAGAACTAGGGGATTCTGGAACATATTTTGTGACATCACAAAGCGATAGAGTAAAGCTTTTTATTACTAGTTCATTACTGTACTAGTTACAGTATTTGTCATATTTAAATCGGACAAGCAAATCTAGTTTTCAAAATACTACGGAGATGACTAAACGAAAAAAGGGTGATGAGTATCGTAGATTTCAACGAACGACTGCATGTGAGTGAGCGACAATATGCAGTATCAGAAGTCACATTAAATGTATATTGACATTGTATGTGTTGACATTTGATTAAAAATTTCAGGCCTTATTAAGTGAAGAATACTATTACTCGCACGGAAATGTAGCTGAAAATACGTACCTTTTATGGCTCTCTTGACCAAAAGGGTTCCAGACCCCTGATCTACAGTATTTGTTCAATAGTTCCAAGTTTTCTCTCTTAGATCATTATGTTACGATGAAACCCTTCCTAATACCAGTCCTATTTGACAACTAACAATGTAATAAAAAAGTATGCTCACCCTCCAAAACCATACAGCATCAAGCTTAAACTTCTTAGCCCCATCTACTTCCTTCCCATAAACAACAAAAATTGCAAAAGCATGTTTCTCCAACTTTGACAGACGCTGAGTAACGCCCTGGGCATAATTACTGGCCAAGAATTCCATTCTAAAATCATCATTATATTTGTAATTGCCTGGAATTGAAAATATCAGGTAAATATAACAATTCCTGAAATTACGTATGCACCAGAATTACCGGTAATGTTCACAAATTGCTGCAAGAATCGTGCAAATCAAGATTATTTTGTCGCAATCAATAACATAGGGCCTCTGGATAAAACCTGCACCTAAAAAATCTATTCGCGACCTTCGAGTTTATTGAATCTTATTTCATAATTTTCCTCTATTGTACAGGTTGGCATCAGATTTTTTCTAGGTGTTTGATATTAATCATTTTTCTGTTTAAATACGCAAATGTTACACAAGATCTCTAATATACAAAGACCGATAGCATATTGAACTTGAATGTCATAATGTCCTCATGGCAGCACAGAAGCCCCTATTTCAATTTATAATACAGGTCGAAATTTTGCCATACTCTTGAATCCGTGGTCGGCAACTGCGGCCCAAAGCAATGTCTTGTGGCCCATGTACGAGCTCAATTTTGATGCATGAAAAAAAATGGCTGTTAATTTTATTATTATCTGGGCCCAGATGTATGTCATAACAATGACTGTTTTTCAGCATGTTTGTAGTAATTAGCGTAAGCGAATCCCGTTGTACGTCGTTTACTCCAGAATGTGCCTACTGCTAGTTGTAATTACCGTCATAATTTTAAGGCCGAAATTAACGTTCCCTGCCCCCATCAATATGCATATTTGGCCCCGTAGTGCAAAAGTTTGCTGACCACTGCTCTAAATGGTTATGTTTGCAATCCAATCTAAAACTCACCTCTCCAAATTGAATATTTCTCTTTATCAAAATTCTCCCAGAAATACTTCATATATACATCGCTGTTCTGATTATTAGCATATATTTTTTTCCAATCATCCATGGAATAGGTCGTTGGGGGTAAATCTGCCCATGGATCTACCTTAACTATAAAAATGAGTGAAGCTGCTTTAGATTTCATAGTGTATGAAGTATATATCAAGATATGATTAAAATCTACTCGGAAGATTAGTTGGTTGTTTTAACCAGGCAATGATTGATTTAGAAAAGTTTTTTGTATAAACCAGAGAGTGTCCAACCTATATTTGAATGATATCGATAATAAAGTCGCTCACACAAATGGTAAACATTAACTTTTTGAACTTTACAGCAAAAGGGTTTTTTCCCGCTTCATATCCAAAAATAACAGAAACTTGAATTGGTGACAGATGTTTACGTGTCATTTTATCGATAGTCCTGCTTCGAATGCATGATGCATCCCACAGTTTACACATCATTGCGTATTTTTGAAACTAAATATTTATTTCATGAACATTCAGTTTTATAAGTTTCTAAACTTGAACAAGATTGCCCATGTTTGACTCTGGCATTGGGTCTTAAGCAGGGGTCTCAAACTCAATTTACCTGGGGGCCGCCGAGACGAAGCCTTAGTGAGTCGGGGCCACATCAGGTTTTTCACAATAAAAGCATTAAACTTAAAAAGTTGAATCTTTTTCTGTTTTTCTATACGCAAAACATGTCAAAAACATAAATGTAAGTAATTCCGTGATGGACCTTTCCCGAGCATCTACTTCCTTGTTCATTCCGTAACATGGGCTAATCAGCAAGATGCAAAAAGTGACGTAACAATAGACTTTTTCGCAAACGCTCAGACACTTGTTACTCAGAAAGATTTTCAGGCATGTTTGTAAACACTAACTCGTTTTTGCATGCTATTTGTTAGTTTTGGGTTGTGTTTCAGAAATTCAAAGAACTCAATGATCATTCTATTTGCTTTGGCGTCGTAGCTTAATTGCCGGAATTAAAAATTAGTCTAGAAATAGCTGTGATAGACTAGACTAAACTTCTCTACCGGTACTGTTGAAAAATAGGTTGTTGAATGTTTTGAATCAAAATGATGACGTGAAACATATACCCCAGTTTATAGGCTTCAATTCGCAAAGTCACCTCTAAAATGAGCACCAAAAATTTACAATGGTAAAGTATACGAAAATTTTCTTCGGGGTCAAAGGTCCATCGAATATCATGCCTACAGGTTCGGTACTAGTAGGTTACCGTACCGCATATTCCTTTCGTGGGATTGATTATAAAATATTTTGTTTTGCCCTACTTGTCCTAATCATATAATAAATGCATCAATCATTCTAACTGAGCTGAGCGACTTACGGGCCGCACTAACATTAACTTTCATACCAAGGCGGGGGCCGCAAACTATCGTCCTAAGGGCCGAAATTGGCCCGCGAGTTTGAGACCCCTGGTCTAAAGGCTTTTTACTCTAAGGTCCCTCCTATTGCTGGCCAATGAATGCTAGTAACCACAAATCATAGTCTACAATCAACGTTGTCCTAGCATACTCGATGAGCGTCTTGATGAAGTTAGTTAAATTCTGCGCTGACGAAATTGTGTCAGAAAATTTGAACAGTAGCTGTCATAGGGAGTAGCACAAACTCTTTCCGGTTTATAAAAGAGTTTTGTGATTTCCTATTGGGGTTGTCAACTTGGGGAAAGTCCTCGCTGGCTTGCGCAGTAAAAAATTCTCTCATTTGATAGGGCTCTTGGAGGCTGTCTTGATGGAATTGCCACAAAGACCTGCCTAATGTTCACGTTTAAACAAGCGCAAGGTTGATGACAGATTTCTTTTAGGAATGTTGCCAAGTTTGTTCAAAATCCGATTCGATCAACCATCTGAGACGTCTATCACAATCAAATTTTTGACTAACCATGATATAAACCATGACAAGCAATTTTTAAAATGGAAGGCCAATCATGAAAAACTTACCCGGTTTCGGTGGAGGCTCATCTACCTTATCTGGCTGTTTGGATTTTTGTTTAGGTGACTTACTGTCTCCAGCTCCACCAGCTTTCTTTCCTTTGGCCTTCTCAGCTACAACATAATAAATGTTAGTCAAATAAATTTCAGAAAAGAAAATACCTCATTTTGTTAATAATTGATTATTATTAATTAAAGGTCTAAATAAAATAATCAATCTTATTAGTGATTTTTACTGATATAATTTTAGAGAGGTATCAGGTTTGAATAACAAACATGATAAATTTCAGAAATTGAAATATTGTTACGGGAATTGCTATATTGATGATATATATCTATTTATTCATCATTCTTTTAAATAAACCACTGGTCAGTTTTTTACTTCTGTCTATTTCCAAATTTATGATTATTTTTTTATTCTAATCTTTTTTCCCCACCTATACATGGTTAAGATGGTCAAACTAGTCATATACGTAAATTAAAAAAATACCTTTTCCGTGAATTTCATTGTATTTTTTCATATCAAATTCAGCCATTTTTTCACACATAGTCACTTGTCCAATCACAGATTTAAATTGTGGTTGGTTTATCAGTGTTACAAACCACCTAAAATTATATTATCTGTTAATAAATATTGCTTTAGCCTGCTGTAGAGAGACTTGTTTTTCAAAATGGATATCATAAAGTATTTTTATGCATTGTGAAGGAGGAATAAAAAATTTCAAGTTAGACAAAGCAAGGAATTTATCAAAAAAGATTGGAAACGAACTACGGATTCAGTTTAGTCGCAGGGTTTTATGTGAGATTGTTCAACTGAATACCGATGGTCCTGTTTTAAGTGACAACAAATCTCACATGATATTTTCAATTTCAATTCACTGATTATGTTTAAAAAAACATATAGTGGGAATACAAAAAAAAACATTGGTGAAATTTCCAATTTGCCATCGTGGAAAACTTTTCACAGACGTCACTTAGAATCATAAAGGGCCATGCTAATAACCGTAGTTAAAATGATCGTTTTTAATATCTGATCTTCAGTTATACCAATAATACTAAACCAATATATTTTATATACAACTTATAGCCCATATATAAGTTTGCGGTGTCAATAGACTATCATGCAATAACCAATTGACCTACCTATTGACGTTTCCAAAAGGCTTGCGAAAAGCAGGATCCAGAACAGTTTCATACAGCATGCACAGAGTGCAAGCAAGACTTATATCTGCCTGAGTAACACGCTCACCAACAAGAAATGTCCGTGTGGCAAGGAAACCATTCAATGCAGTGAGTGCAGATTTGATATCAGATTTAGCCTTCTCAGTATTCTGAAATTAAAAAAACTATCTTTACAGAATTTCTGTCTATTACATTGCTATGCAATTTTATATGTGGTGATCGATCAAATATTCGAATATCTGGTACCACATGACCTGCGCTACTTTGCTTGGACACGGAACTCGCGCCTTTCCAAATCGATCGTGAATCGCGTGAGAATTCACATTCAGCGCTCGCTAACAGACAAAGGCGACAAATTTGAGAAATCGTTGTCGTTGCGCTATGGTGTGATTTGCTTTCTTTTTGCGCCCAACGTATCGTTTCAATTCCCCATTTTGCATAAACACGTATCGCACCAGACATAAAAGTGATTATAAAAATTAGTTGAATTAACCTTTTCGAGAAACTATACATGGTATGACGCTTATAAGCTATAACTAGGAAAGAAATGACAAGCCAAACTTCATTTAATGTATTTTCTATGAGCTCTTTAGTGAACCCTTCCATCGATGAGCAAGTAATGTTTCAAAAAAATGAACATTTTACCGGGCCATGCATGTCCGGTTGAGTGATAAAATCGTGAACGAGAGTAGATCGTAAAATCAATCATGAATTTCGATGTTACAACGCACACTCTCTCGTTTGCGAATTGTTGCGCCTATCATCATCGGAAATGAATACATTCGTTATATTCGAACATTTTTGCACTTAAAAATTAGGATGTGACAGTCACGTGACATTGTCAAAATCGTTAAGTGAAATGGTGAATTTGCAAATTTCGTAACTAAAATTGTGAATTACTCTGAAACGATTTTAGCTATAATGGTTGCCGGGATATTGTTTTGTTAAAAAAAAAACGTTGAAACTTGAAAAAATTAGGTATAAGAGGTGTCTTGACCAATTTTTCGGCACAAAAGCACTCGAGCGCAAAATGTTTTTAGCATTGGGTCGCATATGTACAATAAAATATTATTCAAGAAGTGCTGTTTATTAACGTCATCTTGTTTTATGACCACCTGGAAAATGCCTTTATTGTCAAATTATTTAATCACATTTCGAATCAACTTTCAGGATTGATGCAATCGCTTTGCGAGGTTAATCTTTCTAATACGAAAATAACACAGGCACCATGGAAAAGCATAAGAAAGTTAATTATCGTCATAATAAAAATCTGCATCTCGGTATCGATAATATTACCGCACGCTTAAAATTCGGACGGTAAATTTACAAAAGTTGATAAATAATGAAGACCAAAACCAACGCAACCTGTATAAATAAATCCTCGCAAAAAACAGAGAACGGGCGGGATCCAACTTCAGGATATCGCCGTAAAAACCGGCCAATGAAAAAATATTCGTTATTCGTTAAAAATATTCAAATCATTCGATTCGAAAATTTTTTCGATTTGCCCACCCCTACTTAAAACATCTGTAAAGAGCAATTTTCTGTGAATTTCAGACCAAAATTATTTGAAAGTCATCAAAAGAAAACTGAACTACCCAAATAAAAACTTTGTATATCTCATCAAATAATTTGATACCGAATGTCATATATGACCCATCACATACTGCCTGTTTATTTAAGAATAGAATAGGGCATCAGTAACAAGTCTTCAACTCTAGCAATCATTTGAAAAAATCAACACACCTTATTTGTTACTGTGTCTTGATTTTATAAATGGAAAAATAAAAACAGTGATAACTAAATATTCTCACATCCCATTTAAGCATAAATTATTTTGTGGTGTAACACTATACAACTCTTATTATTACCTGTTTGTTAAACTGAAGAATTCCTTTGGTCGGATATACCCACGTGCAGGCTGCAGGGAGAATAACATTGTCAGCTAAGCCTATCCATTGTAGTACCTAGAATAAGTCGATTATTTGAGTTATTGAAAAGTGAAGGCTGGGGAATGGTATATTGTTCCAGCGTTGGGAAATGTCTGCCGCTGAACCTCTGATTACCCTGCATGGGTTTGCAGGTTCGAACCCAGTGCAATTAAACAAATAACTGACAAACTAAGCATGGCTCGGCAGTGTGGCACATCATGCCAAACTTTAGAAATACGCCCGCCATCGCACCTAGGATTACTTTGCGTGGGTTTTGCAGGTTCGAATCCTATGCACGCAAGGACGATTATTTACAAGAGGATTGCTGGACTCCTTGCCACCGTAGGATGGTTGAAGAAACCATTGGTCAATTACGGCTTCTTTGATAATGCCGTCTTATCACTTTCCTATCCCCAGGATATGTAAATCCTATCCTTATACCATATCAAACATGGTATGGTTACCGAAGACAGGCCAAGGCAAGTCATGTGATTATGCCATCCTATTGACTTTCCTCTCCCCAAGGGTGAATATGAAAATCCTATCATAAGCAATAACCTTCATCCTCTTAGTAACATTTGATTACTGTATGACAGATAGATGTATAAATAATGATTAAAATAAGGTTGAAAATATGTTCCTGAATACGAAATTAAGAAAACAAATTTTGAAATCCAATTCATTTAAATTGTTGAAAAATATGTTTACTTCAATCCATGAGTAACATAGCCGTTGTTGCAGAAAAGAACTAAACGTGCATGCATGGCAATGGATATAGTAATATTGCAGAATTTTCCAATATTAAAATTGTAGCTTGATTTTGAATCTATATAAAAAATTAGGATGCCAAAATTTCTTACTTCTGCCTCTCTGTCTCCACCTCGGGTTTGTTCGTTTCCAACATAATGAGCAATTCCGTTTGGTTCAAATAGCTTCACATCACCACATTCAAATGCTGGAACCTGTTAAGATATCAGTGCACGCTTTTCAAAGGGTTTAAGTTAAGAATGATGAAAAGTGTTGCGGAGGATGAAAAAATTACTATAATTATCAAGACTGAAGAAAGTTTGAATGGAATCAGTTTTCGCTTGAACTGCATTTAATGACAATATTAAATATTTATAATAATTCAGTAATGTCAGAACGTAGGCTAAAATGTATAAAGAAAGTTTGAATGGAAATAAGTTAGTTTTCGCTTGAATTGAATTTGGTGACAATATTAAATCTTTATAATAATTTAGTACCGGTAATGGGGTCTCGTGTAGTTTCGTACCTAACGTACTTCTAGTGGGCGTAGCATAACAATTTTATGATATGTCAATCCTAACCCCCATCTGATTACGCCATCCAAAAATTAAATCACTACGACATCACAATCACGTCATAGAGCTTGCCAAATATACACACGATCGACCGAAATAGCATTGGCGCCGACGATAAAGAACTGACTGACGTTATCGGGTCTCTCTCATACCGGTATTGGAATCGTTGCGACGAGAAAACGAGAGAACTAATTGTTCGATCTCGGGTGCTCGTTTGCGCGTCTTGGATGGCAGTTCGTATAGTTTGAAGGGCTCTATTACGTCACTGTAACGTCGTAATGACGTAATTTTTGGATGGTGTAGTCAGGTGGGGGTTAGGATTGATACGTGAAAAAAATTGTCATGCTACGCCCACTAGAAGTATGTTAGGTAAGAAACTACATGAGACCCCCGGTAATGTGTTGTAATAATAGTGTAGTTTCGTACCTCAAGTACTTCTAATAGGCGTAGCAAAACACTTTTTGCATATGTCAATTCTAACCCCCACCTGACTGCGTCATGCAAAAATTACGTCACAGTGACCTAATAAGGCCCTTCAAACTATACGAACTGTCATCCAAGACGCACACCTAAAATCGAGCTATGTATTTCTCTCGTCAAACAGTCCTGCAGTCAGTCGAAACGATCCCAATACAGCAATATCAGAATAGGATACCTATGGGAAAGATCGCTAGACCCGCTAAGTTAGCTAGACAATGACAAAAAAAATAATTAAAGGATCTTCACCGTCCTACGTACCTTCCCAAACGGAAACTTCTTGAGAAATTCCGCCGATTTATCTGTTTCTCCAGCAACAAAGTTTGGATAGACATTAACTGTCTTCCCGCTATATTGAGCAGCAATCAGGATCTTGTGTGCCCGGAAACTGTCGGGAAATGTATATAGTGTGCCTGACATCGTAAAATAAATTATCCAAAAGTTCTGTATCCAACCAAATTTCGAGATTTTAACCAAAATCGCGAGAGCCGTCAGCGTGCAAAAGTCGGACGTCCACCATGGACAAAAAAGGGCTAAAATGACACGCGGTTTTGTATACGTCATTTCATTCTCCGAATGTCACTACCTGACAAACACTTTGATATACTAGATATTTTAATTTTTATTTGGCATGTAATTACCTGATATTATTTTACTATTTACTTATTATTAAACACGAACTGAACCTATAGATCGTTTTGTTATTATTATTATTATGTTGTTGTTAGTATTCTGAGTTTTTTTGTTGTTGTTGTTGCTGTGAAAAAATCGTTTGTCTTTTCAACTACTGATTCGATTTCTTAAAAATTTTTAATGATCTAAGATTGTTGTTGTTACTAGGAGGCCATTCTGTTATTTGTTCCTATTTATTTATTTTCTATGAATCTTATGAGAGTTTATATTTCGTTCAAAAGTTTATTTATGGGAACACTGTTTTTATTCGTCCAAGCGTGACGACGCAGGAGTTGAATTTGTTTATTGAGGTGGAAGTTGTGGAAGTTATAGGATACGATTTTCGGAGGAAGTGTGTGTAGTATATTTTGTTTTGGCTTTCGTGTTCATAAATTTGAGCATTGCTTTCTTGTTATTATTCATATTACTAGAAATATCTAATTATTCTATTCGTCCAGACCAGGGCTGGGCGAGGTTTTTGAACCAGGGGTCAAAAATTTTGCCCACCTAGTCTGGCGGGCATTGTAAGTGTGATGTAAAAAGTTACATTTTATGAACATTATATATAGTGTTACAAAGCAAAGGTAGAAAACAAAAAGCCTCCTGACGAGACTAAATTTAATCGCAATTTCAACAAATTCCTTGAGTTATTTTAGCTAAAACATCAAAATTTGTTTGCAGTTTGGTTGTCACAGCATCATGCGGGCCAGATTGAATTAACCAACGGGCCGGAGTTGGCTCGTGGGCCGTACTTGGCCCATGTCTGGTCCAGACTTTTAGTTTTCACGTAAAATTATCTTGCTTAGTTTGATTCTATATAAATTTTGAAAATCCTGAGCGTGTATTTTTTTACATATCCGATGAAATTAGAAGCATTCCCTTTTGAAATTGCGTTTATCACTGAAATGAAAGCACATTTTTTTACATTAAGTTGTGACTTAACGTGTAACTGAAAAACAAGATGGGTCACTTGTTACCCGCTGGTCAATCGCTTGCCATTACCATATATATATATATAGTCTTAATTGAAAAATACCGTACTCCTAACCTACTATTATTCTGAAGTGGACGGCAAAGTTTATGTAGTACTTGACCAAATATGCACATTGACAGTAGTGTTGCGCCTAATAAACGCTGCCTTAAACTCCGTGTTACATACATCCGTGCTTAGATATTAATAAATTGATGAGCAATTTTTATTTTATGCATTTAAAATGAGGTCGTTCGGGGGTCCAAAAATTGTTCATGAGCTCAGTTTGCCGACCACTGCTCTACTAGAGTCAAGGCAATGACAGTGAACTGTAATTCTTGCGCTAACCGAAACTGGAGAATACAAATTCATACTCGCGAGTCCAATATACCGGTATGTAGGCCACCGTTGCATTATTATTTATTTAAAGGTTCAGTACAAATAGAGCAAATAAATTCAAGCGTTTAATACATTCACCACATAATTATTCGTGTCGTGAGATCTTGATTTAATATTGAATTGCATTCATTAGTTGAAAAGACTTAGCATCCAGTTCAGCCAAGTTCGATTATCGCCTTGCAGAAGACTTCGTTTTACGATAGGACGACGTGGTCTGGAAGGTCTTCTCCAGTCTCGTCTCGACGAAGCTACAATATTGATAAACATTTGCCAAATTCTTCGTTCAATTTAAGCAGAACTTGAATCAATTGATAATTATAGTTATCTAATATACCACTAAAAGTTTATATTCCATACGTCCGGATGCTTATGCCACAAAACTTGATTTGGAAAATTCTGTAGACGACACGTATTTTGATGAATTCCATCATTTGTCATTTTATTATGCCTTTTATTTTCTAATAATATACAATGTTCCAGTTAGAACCAAAGCTAAAGTTCATGGACTGGACAACACGCATTTTAATGAGTCACATGTGGTTCAATCCAGTATTGTTGCGTGACTTAATATAACCCATTAAGATGACATACCTTTATTGCATGTAAATTTTGGCGTTGTCCACTCTCCATTTGTGCAATAAACCAATGTGCGTCCCCGTGGTTCATGACCACGTAAGCATACATACACAACAAGTATTTGTTCTCTGTTGAGTCGCCTCTGTATAGTTGTGCGAGCGTTTTCTACGGACGGTGGATTTTGACAACCAGCTGTAAACATGTATATATAACGTGTTATGCTTTCATGACTAGTAGGGCGATGTGATCAAATTTTCCTTTGACATATTCAGAAGTGATGCTTCGGCCCAGAGAACGTTTCTTTCTGTCTTTCTTGCTCTTTTCGTTCTTTTCAGTAAATCTCTAAATTTTACAATAAATTCATAAAATATTTGGAACTTACCGTGACATGCGAATTCAGGACTTTCCCACTCTCCGTCCTGCCCACATTTTATTCTTGGTATTCCACTCAGTTCAAAACCGTTTTTGCATCTGTAGTAAACATATTGTCCAAAGCGTATTTGTCTTCTAGTGGACACAAATGATGTTATTACGGCGTTTTTAACAATGGTTGGTGCTGGGCATGTTCCTAAGCACAATAAAAATATAAAACATTAGTTAATCGCTTTAACGAACCTAAGTATATAAATGGCTTTTTACCTGCACAAACAAGGCGAGGTTTAGACCAAGTCAAATCATATTCGCATCGTGAAAAGGCATGTCCTCTTGCTCGGTAGCCCGGCTTGCACGCATATTTGACAACATCGCCAATAAAATATCTCTCTTGTAATAAAGGAACTTCCGCATTTTTCACAGGAGGAGGCATTGGACACGAAACTTGAAAGAAAGAATAAAAACAATATAATAATTTATTTCAATCTAGAATGATCGACAGACTTGGATGAATATCATTAGGATTTCTTGCTATGATATAAATTAATGTAGCTTCATCAATCTTCAATATTTGGTAAAAAGGAGACAAAAGAGAAAACTTATCATGTGGGACATCTGAAAATATGAAAAGTCATCTCAAGTAAAATTTTCTTTGATAGTTTTTTTTCTTCTTTTCGTTCATACTATGTCCATTTCTAGCTGCTATACTTAAAAAATTTGAACTTCTTCATTTTTCCGTAGATATGTCTGCTCTTAATTTTGAGTAAGGTCTTATTCGCAATAATATTCATAATTCAAGTTTAATTTTATCTTTCCATCGCGACGAATTTTGGATTATAATATTTGTTTACGAGGGATCCAAAATTGGTGGGCATATTTTATTGCATTCAATTTATAAGAAAATATAAATAAATATAGTTGTTCGTTTTAATAACATTGTAAACCTTTTTAATTAAATACATTGCTATATGTGGATATAAGTAGAGGAAGCTCACCAATACAAGTAAACTGTGGTTCTGAAAACTGTCCATTTTCTTGACAAACAACATGATTAGTTCCATACACTCGATACCCGTCTGTGCACTGATATTGGGCAAATTGTCCAACTCCATATGATCTTACTGGATCAATCACAGAGGCATGATCAATTTTGGGTAATTCTTTGCAGCCGACTAAAGATTGTCAAGAAATTCACACTGGATTATTTATTTTATAGATAGTATTATTTAAAGGTAATAAAAAGTTTTGTTAAAAGCATTAAAGACTCTGAGTTTATTGACAACAAGTATCTCCAAAACTTACGTACAACGTTTCATGAAAAAATGATGAATGTATAAAGTAGAGGGGCATGTTTTCGATAAATACTTACGATTATGTACTTATACGGAAACGTGGAGAAATGTGAATTAGTTGTTAAAATTCGAAGGACATTCGAAGCTGGCCTTCCCTGCTGTATGCTGTGGGGCCAAGTCGAACATATACCCGACAGTTTGGTACACCAAACAAAGTCATTTAATGGTTTATTTATACTAATGAAACTTTTGTTTCTTATTACCTGGAGCCATTTTGCAGGTAAATTTGATCCCATAATGACATGGAACGTCATTCCATTGTCCGCTTCTAAAATACAGCATGACGACACAGTGTTCTAAATCCTGTAACAAGCTGTTCGGTTGTCCTGGTCGCCAATGTTTGTAGGTCTACATGAAAATGAGTGGGCGCGTTGGATACAGTCAGCCAGGAGGTAGTTTATTTTCCCGCAAACCAAAAGTACACATTGGACAAACGTAATTGAGAAAGATAAAAAAATGCATTTCAGTGTGAAAGGAAACGCGATAAACCAGAAATGGTTATCGAGCAGCGTCACCTATGAGGCAGTGAATCTAACATTGAATCATACTGAGAAAGAAGTCAAACATAAAATACTAACAAAAGCAGCACTTTGAGACACATTTAAGCAACCCGATATCCCGGTGTCACTCTAGTTAATAGAAGAAAACGACTCCAGACACGCCAGGCCGCAGTACAGCCTTCATTCACATAATGAATTGGCGTTTTAATTAATATGGGCAAGTACTTTCTACGGCCACGTAACTTAAAAGCCTATGGCATGAGAGTGAAACCCTCATATGGCATTGAGGAAAGCCTTGAATCAGAAGAGGAATATAGTTTTATAAATAATAATAAATGAAGTTTCCTCTATTATAACTATACTAGTATAGACTGCCCACGAATCAACTTCTGGAGTCTGTTGGATTCTTGAATGATTCACCACAATACCCATTGTGACATAATTGTCCATCGTCCAATTTATAATATAGTGAAGATGTAAAAACCAGTATTGATTCATTGACAGTTTCATTGCATTTTATATTCGTCTTTCTATTTTTGATTTTAAAATATTATTCATTGGTTATTATTCTTACAAACCCTATTTGGAAACTCACGATTGGGCTTTTATCAGACCATACAAATTTTGCTTCTTCGTCCAAGTCATTGAACCCAATCCATTGATAATCCAAAGCCAACCCTAAAAGACAAACGTATGA